ACCCTGGCAATGGATAGGACAAAATAAGAGTTTGGCCATAGATGCTGCCTCTGACAGATCTTGGCCAAAACTGGGGGAATTGTGAACTAAAATAAAATCTTAATGCTCACCCCCGCCACTGGCTGACTGAATGGACCCCCTCGTGGCCAAAGGAATATCCTAAAACTAAATTGCCGGCCAGGAGGAGGGAGATCAGACATGCCTCATCATGCCTTCTTCCCTTCTTGGGGACATCCTTTGTAACCCATTAACAGGCCTAAGGGTATGCCAGACAAACATGCAGGTCCTCTATTTACGCAACAAATATATGTCCCGTGGCTTATCTCTAATAAACAGCTCCTTATATTAAAACATTCCAAACCTTTAGACAAAGCTTCATGTCTTTAACCTATTATAAGTCAAAGAATCTTTAAACCCATCTATAACCTATAAATCTCCCCATCCCCTGCTTTGAGATGGCCCACCTTTTCGGGCCAAAGCAATGTATTCCTCCCAAGTATTGATTTATGACTTTACCTGTAACCCCTGTCTTCCTGAAATGTATAAAACCAAACTGTAACCCAGCCACAGTGAGTCTACTTGCTCAAGGCTTCTTGGGCATGGCTCTGGGTCATGGTCCTCAAATTTGGCTCAGAATAAATCTCTTTAAAATTATTTTACAGAGTTTGTTGCTTCTTTTTGTTAACAATAGCAAGACACTGTTTCCAGAATTTTTTTTTTTTAATTAGCTGGGGGTGGGGGTATTTTGTGCCTGTAGTTCCAACTATTCAGGAGTCCAAGGCAGGAGAATCAATTGAGCTCCAGCATTTGAGACCAGCCTGGGGGATATAGTAAGACTTCATCTCATAATAAAAAATTATTTTGGGGGAAGTTTTTAATAAGGAATCTAAGATTAAACTTTTAAAATCCTCGAGGCTAGCCAAACCAAGGAGTTGCCATCAGACTATCTGCAATAACTATACAAATTGGGTGAATTTTTCTCTTCTCAAGGTCCCAAAATAACTTGAGGTTCTTAGGCCTTTCAGAAAGTGAAATTATTTACCATAGGTCAGGAAGCTTTTAAAGGAACCATGTAATTAAGGTATCAGGCCAGTCTTTCTAAGGGGCTTTTTTTTAATCAGCTCTATAAAGTCAACATCAATTTTGCAAAGCAGCCTGGTCATATTTGAAAATATGCTATTCCAGTCAAAGCCTTTGTAAAATAATCAGTGTCTCCAATGTGTCCTGTTACAAAAGAAACATTCTTATTGAACTTATATAAATATATTGCAGTGAAATAAATAAAAGTACAAATAGTTGACAAATTTGGGGTAACTCAGAAAGGTAAAGTTTTCTCACAAAAGTTTGTTTTACTCAATTGTTATAAGATATAAACAGCTCAAAAGAAAAGAGGTTTTCTTAACTCTTTTTTAATCAGAGTAGCAGCCTTCCAAACAGGATATTGTCCATTTACCTTGGAACTGTAATCCACAATCCAAGCCATACTTAGACGAGAGCTGCTCACCAGGCACTATAGAATAAGACAACTTGTCTTATTGTCCTAAACAATTATTAGCTAGATAACTCTAAGTTTGCATTTCCAAAGGCATGACTCTTAGATGAAACAAGGTAGAAAATGTATATCTCAAAAAGAAACACCATTATCTGCTGAGACAAAGAAGGACACAGGTAAAAGCTCAGTTCAAATAAGATTGTGAAGAAATTTTTCTTACAGTTAAGGTTTGTTATGCAAACTTTAAGGCATTGTCTTCCCCATTGTAAAATTTTCTAGTGGTTTAGGTGCCAGGAGATGCCCTTACCAATGGAGGTTTCCTTTTGTTAGAGCTGGAATCCACAGTACCACAGAACAGAGAGACAGAGTCACTGAGGCTGTAGTCACCAAAAGGAGTTTTATTGACTAGCTCGAGCTAGGGTCTGAGTCTCAGAGCACCAATGCAGTGGCCTCTATTCTGACAAGGACCCCTCCTTGGGCTACAGGTATCTCTTCAATACCTTTTCTTTTCTCCTCCCACAATTTTCCCCAGCATTTTATTGCATCCCTTTTCCAGTTGGCTCTGGTTGGTCCTGGGCTGTCAGTTGATTGGTTGTAGAACCAGGGCTTTTTCTCTGCATTTTATTTCAGCCTTTTGTTGCATTATCTTGGCTCCCCCGAGACTTTCCATCCTTTTATCAGGAAATGACCTGCAGTCACCACCCTTTTGGGGCCCAGCACCCGCTGAAGCCTATATGGCTTCACTCAAACTATACATATTGTAAGCAAGCTTAGGGAACAGAAGCTAGAAGAAGCTGTTAGCCTTACTTTTTTTACGGTTCCTATTACCTACACTTTATAGATGTAAATTTCTTTTACAGAGAGTTTCAAAATAGGCAGCTAAATGTCAGAACGTTATTTTTTGTAGACTGATTTTTGTTTGACAAGTGGTCTTTTTGACTTAACTTGTTATAATACTTAGATTTCTAGCTTCAGGGTAGAGCCCTTTAATGACTAGAACAAAGAGAACATGTAGTATTAAGGCCTAATATTTAAATATGTGAAAAGCAGGCACAGCAGGAAGGCAGAAGGCATAGCCTCCAAAATCAAGGATCCCACTTTCACAGTGAGTCCTGGGTCCCCCAAAAGAGAGAGACAACATGGGAATAGAAAGTGCAGTGCTCCCACAGTGCATGTCACTGCAGGGACACTCCCATGAGTCCAGTGGGTAACCCAACCCCAGTTAGCCTACTCTTTGATCAGTCCACACTCCATGGGAGTCTTATCCCTCAGTGGCATTGTTTCCATAGCCTCCAGGTACCCAAGCCATGATTTTCTTATCCAAACATGCAAAGAAATGGTTAGTCTCCTGCAGTAATAACCATTTACTGCAAACAACAGCTGCAATCCACCTCTCACACTGTAGCCCTCGCAGGTCATTGTACACACCCAAGTCAAGTCCTCTCACAGTACAAAGTAATCTCTGGTGCCCCACAAAAGCCAAAGAGATCAGGTAACACAGTACGAAAGAGAAGACAGTTTTAGACCTGAGAGAAATATTAATGTATCTGCTTACAACTGTTGGCATTCCATGAGGAAAAACAGGTTCCTCCAAAAAAGAGGAATCTGTGGTACCTTTTCTGTTTTCCTTAAAGGATCCCAGGCTGTTAGAAATTTTTTTTTAGGTACCCTCCTGTGGCATTATGGATGGCAAGATGAAAAAGGGATGGACAGAAGTAAATAGAGAAACAGGGAGTACATATGGTTGGGGGTTTAAGAAGAGAGGAGGCCGGGCATGGTGGCTCACTTCTGTCATTCTAGCACTCTGGGAGGCCAAGGTAGGAGGATCACTTGAGCTCAGGAGTTAGAGACCAGCCTGAGCAAGACCCTGTCTCTACTAAAAAAATAGAAAGAAATTTGCTTGGCAACTAAAAATATAAAAAATTAAAAATTAGCCAGCCATGGTGGTGCACACCTGCAGTCTCAGCTACTCAGGAGGCTGAGGTAGGAGGATCACTTGAGCCCAGGAGTTTGAGGTTGCTGTGAGCTAAGCTGATGCCACAGCACTCTAGTCCAGGCAACAGTATAAGACTCTGTCTCAACAAAAAAAGAGAGGAATTCAGTTGACTGAAAAAATTTTATAGAGAAGAGAAGGCTTAAAACAATACATACACACACACACACACATACAGCCTAAATTTCAATCTTAATAAAGTTGACTTTTGACTATAGAGCTCTTAAAAAAATCTTTCGTCCTAATTGTAATTCCTATTCAAGCTGTTTTACTTTTGCTTCTGTTGCTAAATGGGCTTCCATTGTCAAACTGAACAGCCCATAGCAGCAGCCAACCCACTGCAACAGCTGCCTGCTGCCCTTCCTTACTGCAGTGTGATAGAAAGCTCTCAGTTAACAATAGCTGTAAACCTGCCTGCATTTTGGGGGTGTCCTTGTATTCATGCAGTGATCCACAGACATCTAAAGAGTGAGCCAGTCACTTCACATAGACATGGCTGGCCACCTTGGGCTTTCCTCCACAGATGCTTGACACTTCATTCCTTTTTCCTACTTGTTGGTCTCAGCTCCTGTATAGCTCACCAAATGTTCTGCAGTGAGCAGGTCCATGCAAACCTACTCTCGTGGCTGAGGTTGCTGAGAAGCCAATGAAAGAGGCTGACAAATACAGTTCCTCAGGAAGAACTATTTAATAGAGACTTACAAACAAGCCATGTCTCTTTTGGCTGCAAGATGGTGGATCTCCACACTGTTAACCCTAGACCCAGAACGTATGTACCACAGGGAAATGTTGTACTGTTTCAGAAGAAATGTATAGGAATATGCCTAACCAGCAGGATTTATGGTAAGTACATGTTTAAGTTGTTTTGACCGAAGGGCAGGATTTATACAAGGGACAGTACATAAAGTATAAATCTTAGAGGCGTTTTTAGAACTGGGGTTAATCATAATTAAACATGGCAGACTAGCATTCAAGATAGAATTACTGTAGTCTCCACAAAGCCCAAATTACCCCATACAGAAAGACTGGCCCATGCAGAAAGGCCACATTGAACCCCACATATAGGGCAAGTGATGCCCACAATTGTAAACCAGCAAAACTTCCAGATGTGTGAAAGAATGAGCATTCAGGTGATTTTATTTCCCTGCCTTTGAGTCTTCCAATTGAGATATTAGACATTGTGGTACAGAAACAAACTGACAGCCAGGCATGGTGGCTCATGCCTGTACTGGGAGCTGAGGTGGGAAGATCACTTGAGCTCAGGAATTTGAGACCCTGTCTATACTAAAAATAGAAAAAATTAGCCGGGCATGGTGGCGTGTGCCTGTTGTCTCAGCTACTAGGAAGGCTAAGGCAGGAGGATCACTTGAGCCCAGGAGTTTGAGGTTGCTCTGAGCTAGAGCCCAGGAGTTTGAGGTTGCTCTGAGCTAGGCTGATGCCACAGCACTCTAATCTGGTTAACAGAGTGAGACTGTCTCAAAAAAAAAGAAAAAGTAAATAAACCAAATGGCCCCACTGTGAGCCAGTGCATTGCAGTTTTTGAAAAGAGTTGCAGTCAAGGACTCAGCTTTTTGTGTATTTACATTCCTAGCCTAGGTGTCTTTACTTTTAGATCACTTATCTCAGGCCTTCGTTCAAGGTCCAAGGACCTCTCAGGCACCTCTGCCAGGCCTCAGTAAATGGGGAGAAAAAGGGAAACTTAGACACCGTTCTCCACTCTGACTCACTAAGGACATTTTTCTACTCCTAGCCCTTCTCCCTCATTCTCCCCTCACCTCAGGTTTTGTAAAGTTGCTGGAGCCTTTTATTTGGGATTTCCTCAACGGTGTCTGCACTGATCCACCGTTTTTCCTGCACCTAGCACTTTGTTCAGTTTAGATGCTTTCTTATACCATCATAGTAAATGATTAATGTCTTAATCCTTTCATTTTTAGTTGTCGCTTTAATCTGCTACTCTGACACCTGACTCCTCAGCTCTCTCTCTCACTTCGGCTGAGTTCCTGACAATACCTGTAAGTTATCACAATCTACCTGCAAATAATTTTGTATTACTTTAAAAACAGTAATATAAGAATCTTACAACAATATAATCCTGTTTACCCCCTTCACCTTTTTGTCATTATATTTTATTTCTACGTATTCTATAAACACCATAATACTTGCATCTCATTTGAACTTGAGCAAAAATAAAAAGAAAAAAGAAAACTAAATAAACCCCATAATACATTGTTATTATTTTAAGCAGTTAATAGTATTTTTTTATTTCAGAATATTATGGGGTTACAAATGTTTTGGTTATGTTAATTGCTTTTGTACAGTTTCAGTCAAAGTTATAAGTGTGCCCATCACCCAAATAGTGTACATTGTATCCGTTATGTGTGAATTTTCTCATCCCCTTGTCTCCCACTCCCTCATCCGATGGGCTTGATTTCCAATGAGTTTTATGTCAGTATGTGTACATAAGTGTTGCTTCCACGTAAATGGTGAGTACATGTGGTGTTTGTTCTTTCGTTCTTGTGATACTTCACTTAGAAGAAATTCCATCCATGTTAATACAAGAGGTATTAGTTCACCATTTTCTTTTATGGCAGAGTAAGTACTCTATGGTATACATATACCACATTTTATTAATCCACTCATGTATTGATGGGCACTTGGGTTATTTCCACATCTTTGCAATTGTGAATTGTGCTGCTATAAACATTTGAGTGCAGGTGTCTTTTTTATTAAATGTCCTTTTTTCTTTTGAGTAAATACCCACTAGTGGGACTGCTGGATCTAATGGTAGGTCTACTTTTAGTTCTTTGAGGTATCTCCATACTACTTTCCATAGAGATTGTACCAGTTCCAGCGGTGTATGAGTGTTCCTATCTCTCCGTGTCCATGCCAACATTTGTTGTTTTGGGATTTTTTGTTAAAAGCCATTCTCACTGGAGTTAGGTGATATCTCATTGTGGTTTTGATTTGCATTTCTTTGATGATTTTGTTGAGTATTTTTTCATATGTTTCTTGGTCTGTAGTCTTATTTTGAAAAATTTCCGTTCATGTCTTTTGCCCACTTTATAATGGGGTTGATTTTTTTCTTGCTTATTTGCTTGAGTTCTTTGTGGAATCTGGTTATCAGCCCTTTGTCAGAAGTATAGCATGAAAATATTTTCTCCCACTCTGTAGGTTCTCTGTTCACTCTATTGATTGTTTCCTTTGTTGTGCAGAAACTTTTTAATTTGATCACGTCCCATTTATTTATTTTTGTTGTTGCTGTGATTGCTTTTGGGATCTTTTTCATAAATTCTTTGCCTAGGCTGATGTCTGTAAGAGTTTTTCCAACACTTTCTTCTAGAATTCTTATAGTTTCATGCCTTAAGTTGAAGTCTGTTATCTATAATGAATTAATTTTTGTGGGTAGTGAGAGGTGCAAATTCTGTTTCAGTCTTATACATGTGACTATCCAATTTTCCCAGCACCATTTATTTAATAGGGATTTTTTCCCCAGTTATGTATGTTTTTGTCTGTTTTGTCAAAGATCAGATGGCAATATGAGGATGGTTTTATATCTGGGTTTTCTGTTCTTATCCATTGGTCTATGTGTCTGTTCTTTTGCCAGTACTTTGCTGTTTTGGTTACTATAGCCTTGTAGTTAGTTTGAAGTCTGATAAAGTGATGCTTCCAATTTGTTCTTTTTGCTTAAGGTTGCCTTGGCCATTCAGGCTCTTTTCTGGCTCTTTTAATTGCATTAAAAAATACACATGTGTGTGTATGTATATGTGTGTGTGTGTATATATATAAAGATAATTTTAAAAAGAACTTTTACATTCCACAGATAGTTACTATATTTTTTTCTCTGCTTTTCATCCTTTCCCAAACAGATCCAGTTGTCCATCTAGTATAACTTCCCTTCAACATTTTAGCATTTATTGTTGGATGGTCTGCTGCAGACATAATCTCGCAGGCTTTTTTTTTCCTGGAAATATCTTTATTTTGCCTTCATTTTTAAAGTGTATTTTTGTTAGATAACGAATTCAGGGTTTTTTTTTTTTTCTTTTAAGCACTGTATTTATTTTATTGTATATCTATTTGTGGCAGGAGTCAAATGTTATATGTATTGGTCATTTGTCTGTATGTAATGTTTTTATTTTTTTCCCTGACTGCTTTTAAGATTTGCTCTATATTATCAGTTAGGCTATAACGCATTAGTTGTGGTTTTCTTGGTTTTTACTGTCCTTGTGTTTACTGAGTTTCTTGCAAGTGTGGCATGATGCAATTTTTGTTGTTGTTAACAAGTTATAGGAAATTTCAGCCTTGATTTTTTAAAATTATTTCTTCTGTGTTTCAAAGAGATACCTGCACTTGTGTGTTTATTGCAGCACTATTCACAATAGCCAAGATATGGAATCAACCTAAGTGTGTATCATTGAACAAATGGATAAAGAAAATATGGTAGAATATTTATGAAATTCTTCTCTTTTAAATCACTTATTTGCAGCAACAGGGATGGAACCAGAGGTCATTATGTTAAGTGAAATAAGCCAAGCACAGAAAGACAAATTCGCATGTTCTTACCATATGTGGGAGATAAAAAACTTGATCTCATGGAGGTAGAGAGTAAAATGATAGGTACCAGAGGCTCAGAAAGGTATGTGAGTGTGAGGATTGGGGGAGTGAAGAAAGGCTGGTTAATGGATACAAACATACAGTTAGATAGAAGGAATAAGCTCTAATATTTGATAGCAGAGTAGGATGACTATAGTTAACAGCAATATATTGTATATTTCAAAATAGGTAGAAGAGAGAACTTCAAATGTTCCAACACATAGAAATAATGAATACTTGACATACAGTATACCCTAAATACCCTGACTTGATCATTACACATTCTCTGCATATAACAAAATATCACATCTACCCCTGTAAATATGCACAAATATTAGATATCAAAAAAAATGTATCCTGGATATTTTGTATAAAAGTAATAATTTAAATAAATAATATTTACCTCCAAAAAAGAACATATGCCTATGTTGACAGAATGTTAGAATTAGACACTGAATCATCCTGATCTGTAGTTGAACTGGGTCTTGGCTTTGTTGCAGCTTTATTTGATCCAACACCACACTGGCTTCAAGTATTTCATGGGATTAGGCCTTTCTCATCAGAAGGGCCTGGGGTCTCGGTATTAATTAACTTTTGGAGTGATCTTTGGGTTTTATGGCCATGTTCCTAGCTTTTCAAACCGTGGGAGGTTTGGATTTACAATTCTTCTGAAATGAGGGTCATTAGGGAGTTTGCTTTTCAATCCTGCTTCTAGTTTTCTGAGCCTAGGGAAATCTGTCTCTACTCCGCTTTTCTGCCCCCATCCTTTGGAGGGCAGCTGCCTTTATATGAAGGCCTGCTATGCCTCAGACAGATTTCTCTCAGCTTGGCATCCCTATTCTCAGTCTTTGATGTCCTGTCCCTGAGCATATGGTGAAGTCCTACAGAAAACTGGCAGATGGAGAAAGACTTACTCTATGGCTGGATTGTCTCAGAATTCTAATCTATCAAACCAGCCCACTCACATCCATTAAAACTCCAATAAATTTTTTCTTGATTTCTTCTTATTTTTCTCGATGGGGTTTCTTTTTTGCTGCTTTATCATAATCAAAAGTCAGCATGTAGGAGAGAAAATTTCCTGTCTCCTATGAGTACCCTGTCACTTGCTGGAATTTAATTCATTTAGATTCTTTGTATTCTCAGCAATCTAATGAGTTAAAAACAAAACAAAAAGAAAGACAAACAAACTGGTTTCATAGTTCATCTAGATAGTTTTAGTTGTTGTAGTGAGAACAGTGGTAACTCTTGTGACTTTCTCTACCCTAATTAAAAGGAGAAGGGAATTCCTTAATTTTTGGTTATGAAAAGCTCAGCAAGACTTCTGTGTCCCTGAAGGGCTTGTCAGCTTCTAATTTTGCTTTAGACTGAGTAAATCCTAAATACAAAGCTATGGACGTGTTTTTCTCTAAGAAGCAATACACACATCAGCCTTTTTGTTCTTTCCAAATATTTTATTCTCATTATTTTGAGAAGGTTCCTCTATTTTTTTATGTTCTGTTGGAGGTAAACTCTTGCATGCCAGGCATTCTATTTGTAGGACTTGGGGAGGGGATTAGCAGTGAAATCAGGTGTTTCATACATTTGTTCAATAAAACACCCTGTTTTTAACTTCACATCTCACACCTATCCTCAATTGTACTGGATTTTTCAAAGATTCTGTATGGCACTAATACAACCTCTGTGGAAAGCAATATGGAGATACATCAAAGAACTACAAGTAGAACTACCATTTGATCCAGCAATCCCATTACTGAGCATCTACCTAAAAGAACAAAAGACATTCTATAAAAAAGACATCTGCACTCAAATGTTTATAGCCCCATAATTCACAATTGCAAAGATGTGGAAACAACCCGAGTGACCATCAATACATGAGTGGATTAATAAAATGTGGTATATGTATACCATGGAGTTCTACTCAGCCACAAAAAACAATGGTGATACAGTACCTCTTGCATTATTCTGGATAGAGTTGGAACCCATTCTACTAAGTGAAGTATCACATGAATGGAAAAACAAGCACCACATTTTCACCATCAAATTGGTTTTAACTGATCAGCACTTAAGTCAGTTAAGTGCACATATAGTAATAACATTCATTGGGTGTTGGGCAGATTGGAGGGGGAAGGGGGAGATGAGTATATATACACATAATGGGTGCAGTTTGCACCATCTGGGGGATGGACAGGCTTCAAGCTTTGACTCAGGTGGGGCAAGGGCAATATATATAACCTAAACATTTGTACCCCCATGATATGGTAAAAAACAAAAAAAGAGATTCTCTATGACATACTGTGTTTTCTTTCTTGATGTATTGACACTATTCATGCATATTTTGGCTGCTGCTTCCTCAACCTTAGTTCATTGTTATTGCAAAATTTATTGACTTGCTTTCTGTATTCTAGAAATTTGTTGAAAGTCCTCAAGTGTCTTGTACTAGAAGATTATATCAGGATATTTGTTAAATAACTAGAGAGTTAGAACTGAATCCTAAGTGGTGTGAATCCTGATTCAATTCATCTATCATTAACTTCATCTCTACTTTATTTCATTCCTATATCTTTCTATTTTGAGATTTTTTTTAACTTGTCACTGACTTGAGGCTTATATTTTAAGGTTTTGCTGAAGATATTCCTGAAGAACCATCCACAGTGTGGCACCGCAAAAATGATTCAGTTGACAGCCACCCCTGTTACTGCCCTTGTTGATGAGCCAGTACATATCCGAGCCACAGGCCTGACCCCCTTTCAGGTGGTGAGTCTTCAGGCATCACTGAAAGATGAAAAGGGGAACATGTTTTATTCTCGAGCCTACTATAGGGCCAATGAAATTGGCGAAGTGGACCTGGAGCACGATTCTTCACTTGGAGGGGATTATGTGGGCCGCCACCCCATGGGTCTCATCTGGTCCCTGAAACCTGAAAATTTATTAACTAGACTAATGAAAAAAGATGTGATGAATAGCCCCTTCCAGGTCCATTTAAAACTTTATGACTCAGATGTATTACTAGACAATAAACCTACGACTGCTCTAAAGGCAAGCCTGACGCTGGAGAGGTGGTATGTGGCCCCCGGTGTCACACGGATCCTGGTCCAAGAAGGCCGCCTTCGAGGAGCCCTCTTTCTCCCTCCAGGTGAGTACAATTACTCTAGTTATCGCTGTTCCTGTTTTTCCCCTTTGAAATGCATTATCCCTCTGGAGATTTACCTTGAATATGGATAACACACAGAGTGCTCCTTTTCTGCCTTAGAATCAGTGCTGACTTTGGGTCTGAACAAGAATGTGGTAATATTCTGCTGCAACTCGAATTTCATCTCAACAGTTCTGGAGCTTGTCTAAGGATATGACTTCATATAGCTTAGGGAGTTCGTACATTATGGTTTATATAGCTTTGGATTTATGCTAAATTTATCTATATTGAAGCCTGGCTATCTGAAGACTCTCATCTTGATATCGTGGAAACTGTGGGAGCTTTGTCATGTTGAGTTTCAGTTTAGGCATGGGTTACTGCATGGTTGCCACTACAAACTGGAGATACGAAAGATAGCAACAAATATAGAGGATGCAAAGAAACTTTATAGCCTCTAGTTTCACAAATATTGCATATTTATATACTATTCCATAAATCAGATAGTACAGCATGCTCCCTAATGTCTATAAAACTTATCACTTTTAGTTTCCCGCAGTGATTTCCATGTACCAGTAAGTTGTTGAAAACATCTGTTGGTATACTTCTCAGAGTTTATTGTGGGCCCAAATAAAGCAAAGTTAATTTCCTAGAAGACTTCAGCAGGCCTAGGTGTCAGTTCTGTCTAAGGTTCCCTCCTTTAGATGTGTGTTTGATCTGGGACACAGCCATCACCTCATCAGGATGTATTGCTTTTGTTTATTTATTTTTATGTAGTAATCTACTTCCAGAACTGAGATGGGTTGAAAAACCCTAAATAATTAGGGGTGCTTTCTGATAACATAGAGTTGTAGATGGTGTAGATGGAATAAAAGCTTTCCTTTCCAAATTCACCATGACCCATGCACTTGTTTGCATAAATTTGAATGTTTTTACATCCAGTATTTAGCATATAGAACATTTTATCATGTGTAGGGACCAGGGAAATAAGTGACACAAACTGCTGGGCCTCTATTATCTCACCACAATTAAAAATCTGTACATTGGTATTGGCCTTCCACCTTGGGATGATGTGCTAGTTTCGGAGGTACTATTTTTGAACCTTCCTGTACAGTGCATATGCTGGGTTTCTCACTTCAGGCATGTGTTCTGTGGTGTGTACAAGAGAAGGTTGAGTTGTGTGGGGTCATAAAGAGGTTGAGTCCTGTCTCAAAACATTTCTACCTACTTTTTTTTTTTTTTTTTTTACAGAGTCTTGCTCTGTTACCTGGGCTAGAGTGCCATGCCATCAGCCTAGCTCACAGCAACCTCAAACTCCTGGGCTTAAGTGATTCTCCTGCCTCAGCCTCCTGAGTAGCTGGGATTACAGGTGCGTGCCACCATGCCCGACTAATTTTTCTATTTTTAGTAGAGACAGGGTCTCACTCTTGCTCAGGCTGATCTCGAACTCTCAAGCGAACCTCCTGCCTTGGCCTCCCAGAGTGCTAGGATTACAGACATGAGCCACCATGCCCAGCTTCAGAACATTTCTTAACTACAATGTTCTTCCAAGATAAGGGGCTCAGTAATTTTCTCTTTTCTTTTCTTTTTTGAGACAGAGTCTCAATCTGTTGCCCAGGCTAGAGTGCCATGGCATCAGCCTAGCTCACAGCAACCTCAAACTCCTGGACTCAAGCGATCCTACTGCCTTAGCCTCCTGAGTAGCTGGGAATACAGGCATGCACCACCATGCCTGGCTAATTTTTTCTATATATTTTTAGTTGTCCAGCTAATTTCTTTTTATATTTTTTAGTAGACACAGAGTCTTGCTCTTGCTCAGGCTGGTCTTGAACTCCTGAGCTCAAATGATCTGCCTGCCTTGGCCTCTCAGAATGCTAGTATTACAAGCATGAGCCACCGCGCCTGGCCAGGGGCTCGGTACTCCTAAGTATTTCTCCCATTCTTGTCAATCAGAAGATCGAAAGCATCATTATTCATTTACTCAAGTAGAATTTTTAAGCCAATATATATTCCATATTATTTTATTTCTTCGTTTCTGAAGGTAAAGTAATTATAGTAACTTTTAAAAAATTCCCAATACTCCCTTCAATCAAGCCACTCCTTTCAAACATAGATGGGGTCAAGTTTTCTTAGCCAAAGTCACTTATAAAAGAATAGAATATTCCCAATAAGTGCATCATAAATTTCTTTCATTATGTGGGCTCTACTTTATTTTGGGGAAAAGCTGCATTCGCAGAGAGTGAGTGTAGAGTGATACTCTGACCACCCCTACTTTTAACCACGTGTTAAGCTCTAGGGAATGAAAAAAGTGTTATTGAGTGAAAGGGTTCATCATTTCCACCTGCTTAGGTGTGAGATTTCATCACTGTATAGTAAGATGATTGTAATGGAGCAGTGTTAAGTCAGGATTTTAGCTAAATAATCATTTAAAAAATTTGTTGAGCCATATACTTCATTGAGAATCCAATTAAATCTGCAGAATCTCTCATAAGCAAAATGTACAAATAAACATTTATACCACATTTTGCATATGGTGTAACTTTAGGACCTTCATAGATTTCTTGAAGCCTATTTGTGTACCTCTTTTTAGGTTATAAAGCCCTGACCTAATTTCTATGACTTTCTTTAGACCAAGAGTATAGAAATGAACCATGATGACTTCCCATTCTCTTTGGATGCAGAGATTAAACATGTCAGTGAACATAGTTCCCAATCAAACTCCTAGATGTTGTGTTCCATTATATATTCAATAGTCTTCAATTCTTCCCCATATGCAAGGCTGAAATATTTGGAATTATATTTGAAAATTTATATATTAATTTAAAAATTTGTGATACTCTTTTTCTTTGTATTCTCATATTTTTTTTATCTTTTCCTCACTTTCTCTTCATACTTAATTCTGTTTTGTTTTGTTTTTCAGGAGAGGGACGTTTCCCAGGGGTGATTGATTTGTTTGGTGCTGTAGGTGGACTGATTGAATTTCGGGCCAGTCTCCTAGCCAGCCATGGCTTTGCCTCCCTGGCCTTGGCTTACTATGGCTATGAAGACCTGCCACCCCGACTAGAGATAATAGATTTGGAGTATTTTGAGGAAGCTGTCAATTTTCTCCTTAGACATCCTAAGGTAATCTTTGCCTCTCCAGTAAGTTTCAGTCCGTTTTTTAATAACCATGATATTTTGTGACTTAACTTTCAAGTATGGTTCTTCTTCAGTGAACTTGAAATTCTATTGCATGCTCATATTATTCACTTGTTTCTCATCCAGTGTCTTTTGCTTGGAAAGACAAAATGAATCGGAAGTTAGTCCATGTCCATCACAGTATCAAAGGCATTGGCTTTGAATTCAGATAGAAATGGGTTGCGTTTCTGGTTCCATTCCATTTGGTTAAGAAAATTGGGGCAGGTTACTTAGTTAGATTCACTCATTCTCTGTTTCTTCATCTATTAAATAATATTGTAGTGATACTACTTAATAAGTCTGCTGTGAGAATTAAAGGGCATAATGTACGCAAAGTGCTTATCATAGCACCTGGTAATACTAAGCACTCAATAAGTGTAAACAATTATCATTTTCTTATCACCATACATAACCACACAGATAATCTGTATTTCTTTGAATAGTGGGTCTGAATCTTTAGTTACTCGTGAGGCCTTAAACATAATGCTGTAGTACTTTTCCAATCCCTATACCTACTTGAATCTTATTAATAAAACATGTGCTTTGCTGCTATAACATGTTTGCTGCATATTAACTCTTATTAATTGCCTAATATTTTTTCTTAAACAGAATTGAAGGAAAATCAAATCTCTGTACTACATAAGTTTTCATATAAGGATCACTAATATCTGATCAAAATTGCAATAAGATGAGCAACAATTACTGACAATCTACTGCTATATTGACATTTTAAATGACGACTTTTGGTGCATATAATGGAATTGTTTTTTAACCATCAGATAGTCAATGTTACCATTGTGCGAGCCCTCTGCTTGGCTTAGATGAAAAGCAGAGAGGCTATGTGATTCTGCTTTCCAGCTTTCTTAGCTTAGTTCCCCTTATGCTTGCTGCATGACATTCATCACTGTTCTTGCCAGTGTCACATAGACAGCTAGTTAATGACTAATCCAGGCCTGGAAATCCGATTTCTTTTCTAGGCCCTGAGGACTTCCATTAGCCCTTACTTCACACTCTCTCTTCTGCAGGTTGATAGACTACAAGTCTTTCAACTCCTTGTGGGTCTTCTCTACCTGTTGATTTTATGTTACTTCTAAGAACTTTAAATTCCCTGAACCCAAATTTGGTGACAGAAGTTGTAATAAAAATTACTGTTCTGGCAAGGGTCAAAAACAAATTAAAGTCTGCACATATTTGAGTCACCCTTTTTTGTTCACCCACATTATGCTTGCTTTTACTTTATCCTCCACAGCCAAATCCCCTGTGAGTTCTCATCTCTCCTTGCCATAACTGTGACTCTCTATTATATTAAGATATAGAATTTTGGGGATCAGGAGTAGGTAGGGAAAAGGAAAATGTTGGTCAAAGGGTACAAAAGTTTCAGTTAGACAAGAGGAGTAAGTTCTGGTGATATATTACACAGCATGGTGACTATGGTTAGTAATAACATATATATTTAAAAATTGCCAAAGAAGTAGATTTAAATGTTTCAACCACAAACAAATGATACATTTGTGAGGTGATGGATAGGTTTAATTATCCTGATTTGCTCATTCCACAATATATACATGTACTAAAACATCACATCATATCCCATAAATATATACAATTATTATTTGTCAGTAAAAACTCAAAATTAAAAAAGATAGAATTTCAGATCTTAAAAGGACCTTTTAAGAGATTTAAACCACCCCTGTTAATAAACAGGATAGGAAACAGGGAGTATACATGAATCATTCCTTTTGTTTTAGGGCTTTTCCCCCCTTACCCTAAAAGTTCTTCACATTTCTGTCAGCTTGGCATAAGTCATACATGCATTCCTGTATTTCTAAATAACAGAGAAAAAACCCCAAACATTAGTTAATAAAATACCTTGAAAATATAGGAGATCAATTAAGATAAATACAGGAAATCAACTATGGTTTTAGAAAAGAGGTGTTTCTCTCTGAAACTCTTGTCTCTGCATGGAGCCAGTGCTGAAGGAGAATCGGAACTTTATTCTGTGACACAAAGGACAATCATCTTTAACTCCTTCTCTTTCCACTCCCATACCAAATTGGTGACTGGGAACTGTATACTCCACACTCAAAAATAACTCACGAACATGTTATTTCCTTTTCAACCTCACTGGCGTTACCTTAATTCAGGACATCATCATTTCCTGTCTATTCTGTATCATCGTAATAAGCTCTGATTTTTCTGCCTCCATTTTTGCAAGTCAGAGTTGAAGGCTGGCCTTTCTAGAGCATAGCTATTTTACTTACTTGCTGATCAGTCACCCTATTTACCATAGGATAAAGGCCAGGCTTCTTAACATGTTACGCAAAACTTTCTATTATCTGACTTCTCCATACTTCTTCAGCCTTATCTTATACCCGACTTTAAAATTTGTCCTAATTTCCCTCTTTAGTTAGGAGAAAAGAGTCAAAGCCGTTTAGCATGTCTTTGAAAGCTATTCACTATCAGGTTGTTGTTTTTTTTCCCCAGGCTGATTTTGCTATTTCCCACCTTATAAAAAAATTCAAGTAATGAAGAACTACTGTGGTTCCCTAAATGCATTTCTCTTTGTTGCCTTTGAGTTTTTGTGGGTTTTTTTGAGACAGAGTCTCACTCTACTACCCAGGATAGAGTGTTGTGGCGTCAGCCTAGCTCATAGCAACCTCAAACTGCTGGGCTCAAGGAATCCTACTGCCTCAGCCTCCTGAGTAGCTGGGACTACAGGCACATGCCACCACTCCGAGCTAATTTTTTCTATTTTTAGCAGAGACAGTGTCTCGCTTTTGCTCAGGCTGGTCTTGAACTCCTGACCTCAAGTGATCCTCCCGCTTTGGCCTCCCAGAGTGTTAGGATTATAGGCGTGAGCCACCACACCTACAGGCTACACTGGCGTTCTTAAACTCGGAACCTTACACAATATGGAATCTACAGTATTCATTCAGTAATGCCTGGCACATTTTTGAAGGAGTATTTCCTTTAAGTACACATTACATATTCTAGAACTCTAGAGCTAGATATGTGGGTGGGATTTATACTTGCTTTGTTCCCATTGGTTATTGAAATTCTTCAGTTTTTTGAGATTGTGGGGTTTTCCTAAATGAAGGAAAGAGTAACATCTTATTTCCATTATTTTTTCAGGTCTGTGGCCCAGGCATTGGAGTAGTCTCTATATGCAAAGGGGCTGAGATTGGACTTTCTATGGCTGCTCACCTAAAACAAATCACAGCCACTGTGCTTATTAATGGACCCACCTTTACTGTTGGCATTCCACAGGTATATCGTGGTCACATCTATCAGCCTGCTCCCTTCTCTGCACAATTAGTAACCATCAATAGCTTGGGGTTAGTAGAATTAAATCACCTGTTCGAAGAAACTGGAGCTGAGGCCAGTCAGTCTTTTTTTCCTATTGAAAAGGCCCAGGGACATTTCCTCTTCATTGTGGGAGAAGAAGATAAGAATATCAACAGCAAAAGAAATGCTGCGCTAGCCATAGAACAGCTGAGGAGGAACGGGAAGAACAACTGGACCTTGCTATCTTACCCTGGGGCGGGACACCTGATAGAGCCTCCTTACTCTCCACTGTGCCTTGCCTCAGGGATCAGAACTATCTGCTCAGCCTTTCACTGGGGAGGAGAGGTGATTCCACATGCAGCCGCACAGGAGCATGCTTGGAAGGAGATCCAGAAATTTCTCAGGAAGCACCTCATTCCAACTGCAACCAGTAAACTCTGAGAAGACTAGATATTCCTAGGAAATAGAGAAGGAAATCTCTTTACCAGTACCTCTTGATGTTCGCAGAAGAATATGTTTATTTTTTGTTTGTTTGTTTTTCTTTCCCATTTTATGTCTATTTGAATGGTAAAAATGGCACAGGGGTAAAAACCTGATATTTCACTTATATTGCACAACAGGCTAACCAAACTGGACATGGGAAATAAATTATAAAACAAATCATTTTACTTATTAGTTCTATGATGTTTCTTTCAATTAGGTCTTTCAAATAGAACTGAAGTATAGTACACTGGCAAAATAAAAAGGGGCAAACAGGAATAGTGCCAGACTAACAGAAACCCCAAACCAAATACCAGTGCAAAAAAGTCATATAGTAATCATTTATCAGATTAGAGCAGCAGGAGAAAGTCACTTCCAAATCATAATCATTTTAGTAATATTTGCCAACTTCACCATGGTAAATTTACAGCATCATTCTTCATTTGTGGAGTAATAAAATTTATGTCAAAAGGGAAAGGGGAGAATAGAAGTCAGTTAGTTCATTCCAATAAATTACCTCTCTAGTTCTTACAAACAAGCCCATCAGCACAAAATTAAGTAATACCTAAGGTAAGAAAATACTTGGTTTAAGTTGTACAGCAAACTAAAATGGAAAATGCCAGAAAATAAAACCAATGGAGTTAAAAAAAGACCCTCATTCACTTAAAAATGTGAAATTAAAAAACAAAAATAGAAATGAAACTCTACTAGTACAAACTAGCTTGAGTGGTTTGATGGACAGAGTAATTGGGTCAACTGTCACTATCCTTCCATAATTGGATTTTCTTCATTCATGCTAAAGTAGCACATGAATGTAAGCTCTATAAAGACAGGTACTATATTTTCATAGGACACAAATAATTACCATACAAGGGCTGTCTGGAAAATATCCAGCCACGTAACCATTCTCATCATATTAACAATGGCTGGATACTTTCCAGACAGCCCTCATATATCCTATGAATAAAAAATATTTTACTTTGATAATGACTGAGTATGTGGATACTCCACGTAATCTAACCACATGGTAGTTTGTGGTTGTGTTTACAATCCTATAAAAAATATTTTTAAAAATTTTGTTATAGGGTTTGGACCCTACAGTTTTCACAGCAACATAACTACGCTCTAGCGTGTATCATATTTTGTAAGCCTTCCAGTTCAATCCACATTATCATTATTGATTCATATTATGTCCAAATGCAGCACCCTTGAGGAACATAGTAAATCAGTTAATCAGATAGAGACATACAAACATCTCCTGATTCATCTCATCAAGATGGGTAATTCTGATCTTCTCCACCATCAAGCAGCTCTCCATTAGCTTCTTATGCTTTATTCTCCTCAAATTCTTCGTCCTGAGAGAATTCTGTATTGTGTCCCTGATGTACAACTTCCTGCCCTCCTGGCTATGATTTATCTGCATAGTCTACACCAACACCATACTGCTGAGATCCATGTCTTACTCCAACACGGAGTCCTAACAGGAAGACCTTCTTACACACCATACGTTTGCATTTTTTTTATCCTTTTTACACACTAGGGAATGTTTTTACATGTTCTCTTTGAGTAAACAGTTTTCCACAAATATCACAGCTAAACAATCTCACTCCCATGTGAGCAAGTGCCTTTTTTGTATTTGTTTGTATTTGGCCACATAGCTACAATGAGGGCATTTTAACTTGTTCATGATTAGAAATGATTCATCATTTTTCCAAGTTTCTTGTTTTGGCCCAGATTCCAGAAATAATCGATACTTGAAATCACTTGAAGGGCCAGGCATGTAACCATACTTGAAATCATGTGAAGTACCAGCATCACCTTCATCTTGACTAGAGCTCGCTTCGGCCAATGAATTTGCATTCACATTCCTGTTACCATCTGGCCCTGAGAGTAGAGCACCATCCAAATCTGGTTCTTTTTTGCTTAGTAGTGTTTTTTCTTCCAGATAGGCAATAGGTGGCTGCATCTTTGAGCAAACTTCTAAATCTTTCATTATTATTATAGGTGGTATATTATAAATAAATCTTTTTGTAGTTTGGTTTTTCCTCCTTTTGCCAGTCTCTTGAATTCCCTGGGAACCCATATTATTCCAATAAACACTTTTGTTTGATCTTCAGATTCATTTCGAGCCATTTTAGGACACAACTACTGTCACACAACAACACAACAACATCCTGGACACAACTACTGTCATTCATTTGGCTCTCATCAATTATAATCATTTCCAACTTTTACATAAAGAGGCAAAGTGGTCTCACTCTGTCACCCAGACTGGAGTGTAGTGGTACAATCATAGCTCTCTGCAGCCTTGAACTCTTGGGCTCAAATGATCCTCCTGCCTCAGCCTCCTGAAGTAACTGTGACCACAAGTGTATGGCACCACACCCAGCTAATTTTTTTCCTGTAGAGATGAGGGTCTTGCTATGTAGCCCAAGCTGATCTTGAATTCCTGGCTTCAAGTGATCCTCTCACCTTGGCCCCTTGAAGTTCTGGGATTATAGGCATAAGCCACTGCACCTGGCCTTGCTTCTGTTTTTTAAATATTTTTGGTTGTGTTTCCTCCTCTGTCTCTCACCTGACCAACACAGCCAAACTTAACTACATTCTAGAAAAGGGCTCTCCTAGAGAGCAGCTATCTTGGTAGGAATAAACTGGACCCAGATCAGACAAGAGCCACAAGGGCATCTGCCAGTATAAATAAGTTTCTGTGAAAGAGAGACTTGGTCACAGGGCAGACACTGAGGCATTAGGTCAACCACCAGGATAAGTGTCTCCATGAAAGGTGCACTGGACACATTTCACAACAAATTTCAAGGAGCCCTGTCAGGTCAGGGTTATTTATAGTTTGTAGTCACTCTTCTGAGAGACATTTTGGTCAAATTAGAAGAAAATTCAACAGCTACTTAATGACTGAGTTTTTTCTTGAATGCTGATCTATTCCAGCCTTCTCATTTACAGATGAATAGTAAAGGCTCAAAGAAGTTTTTACAATAATTTAATGGCAGGGCTGAGATTAGAACCCAGGGACTTAGCCCTAAGTTCTCTCTGTTACATTATGTTGAAACTTTCCTCCACAGACTGTTAAACTCTAGTTTCTGGAAATCTGAAATAAATTTTGGTCATATACTAGCACTGTTTTTGTTGTAGGAGAGCTAGAAACACTTCAATATCTATATTTATTTTTCTTATGGAGAAGATTTTTTTAGCTTCTAGTGAGGACTAGGAACATTGTTGGGTCTATCACTGAAAACGAGTCACAGTTTCCATTGATTGAGTTGCAGCTAAGTGGAAGCTTCATGAAATTCTTAAATGGGTGGGTGACTTTAACCCATTAGAATAGTCTTTATTGCATAATCATTTATTTTTGCTACCTTTTTCCCTGTCCTTGTCATGACTTATGCAATTAGATGTTTCTAAATTTTAACCTTCTGGTCAGTAATTCTAGATTTTTAAAAGATACTTTCAAAGATTTTGATGGTCACAATGATATACTTCCAAAATTACAATCTATAAAGTAAAATTCCATGGTGAAAGGTGTTATATGATACATGGTAGAAAGTAATTTGATATTAAAATTTATATTAAGAAAAAGAGAACCTTGTTAGCATGGTAGGTGGCCAGAAGAAGGTCAGTGTGGTAGACTGTAACGAGAGCCCTGAAATAATTTCCTGGGATTCAAAATGAAAAATGATATCCTATGATAACTGGAAGATTGATTTCAGTTATGTATAATCATTGATAAATGTTATTGAAGACCAATCTACACTGTGACCAAAGGAGGGTAATGATAGAACTTATTTATTCCTCAGCCAGAAGTCATTTCATTTCTCTTTACTATACAACTGAAATCTCTCATTTTCAGTATTATTTTCATACTGACATCTTTCAAACTAGCCAGTTTTGTTCCCAATGAGCATGTTATTTATAAAATTTCAAACAAACATTGACAAATGAGATAATAAGATAGGGACAATGTTTTGTTATTTGTTATAATTAATATTGTTGGTGCTTGAGATACCTTTGCCATTCTAGCACTAGTTGGGTGCTAGACTTGAAACACATTCAAAAGAGAAAATCTATAAATTCCCCAGTCTGCATTTATTTCTTTTAAACTCAGCCCCTAATCTAATCACTCAAGTAATCATTGGGTTCGGAGGCCAGAGCCCAAAAAAGTAGATGATTATTTTAATAGTCAATAAGTATTAACTGTCAAAATCTATCATTAGTATTATAAATACCAGTCATGTTCAAAAACTAACATGTGATTGCTGGGGACCACCTTGTTGGTTGACTGTCTTCTTTTCCAAACTCCTCTCCCTGATACTCTAGCCATATTGAATTTTTTTTTCTTTTTTTGAGCTTCCCCACAGCAGCATAGCTATACTGAATTTTTTCAATTCATTACATGCATGCATATTTATTGAGTACCCTCAGTGAGCCAGGAATAGTTCCAGGCAATTGGATACTTTAATGAACAAACTAAAAAATGCCTGCTCTCATGAAGCTTTCATTATAGTGCAGTTTCATAGAGGGCATCTATCTATATCCAAATTTGTCTTTCTTTCCTACACGTGTGTGTGTGTGTGTGTGTGTGTGTGTGTGTGTGTGGAGAGAGAGAGAGAGAGAGAGAGAGAGAGAGACAGATTTATTTTAAAGAATAGGCTCATATGATTGTGGAAGTTGGCAAGTCCAAAATCTACAGGGCAGGCCAGTGGGCTGGAGACCCAGGAAGAAGTTGATGTTGCAATCTTGAATACAAAGGAAATCTAGAGGTAGAATTCCATCTTCCTTGGAAGACCTTAGTCTTTTCTCTTAAGGCCTTCATCTGATTGAAAGGCCTTCACATTATGGAGTATAATCTACTTTACCCACAGTCTACTGATTTAAATTTAAATATAAAAAATACTTGCACAGCAACATCTAGACTGATGTTTGATAAAACAAATGGGTACCATAGCCTAGCCAAGTTGATGTATAAAACCAGCCATCACTTTGACATTGTAATATAGTCTCCATTGCAATTATCAACTGCCATTGGAAAGTGAAAGGAGTTATAAAAAATACATAAATGAAAACTATCTATTAAAACAAAAAGTAGGCTGAATTTGGTCTGCATACTGTAGTTTGCTAATCCTTGGACCAGACTGACTTTCTTGAGCAGGAATGGGGTCCTGCTTATTTCTAACATCTTTGGATATAATGCGTAGTGAATTACTGTTGAATGAATATGAAACTGATATCATAATAGCTATATGATTACCATTAGAATATGGGTATTGGCACATTTCCAATCATCTTGGTTACTATCAACAACTATATCTCAGCCATGCCCAGTGGCTCACACTTGTAATCTCAGCACTTTGGGAGGCTGAGGCAGGAGAATTGCATGAGGCATGGGGCCAAGAGTTTGAGAACAGCCTGGGAAACATAGCGAGACCTCATCTCTACAAATAAAAAAACTAGCCATGCATGATGGTGCATGACTATAGTCCCAGCTACTTAGGAGGTCAAGGTAGGAGGATCGCTTGAGCCAAGGAGTTTGAGGCTGCAGTGAGCTATGCTTCTGCCACACTGCATTCCAGCCTGGGCAACAGAGAGAAACTCTATTTCTAAAAAAGGAAAAAAAAAAAAAAGGAAAAAAAAAACCCAAATAACTATATCTCACAATAGTTAAGGATGGCTGCTGATGATTACAGGTATTTCTACTTATATCTTCTAGGTGGCCATATGTGTTTCTCTTCAGTTTGCATGTGCATATATGTTACTTTAGGTAAGCAAAAATGCACATATATAGCCTTATTATATTTTAAGTTTTCCTATATTTTTTTCAAAATGGGATGATACAAATGCATCAAATAAAACAGTTTTTTAAAATAATTTATCAGTATTAAGATATCTGGGCACTCTAAACTGTTCTTCAATTATTTCCAAGTAAAATAAAGTAACATTCATAAGCACTAACACATGCCAACCACTTTATACAGGTAACCTCTATTTTACAGTTTCTGATCCTTCTAGATAACATAGAATATCTTTTCTCCTGAAAACACCCTGACAGTTATTTCTAGGGGTTCTTAGGGGGTGCCTCATGTGTTAATGGGGAAGTTCTCCCTGCTCCCCCATGACTCTGACCACTCATTTTTTTCAGTTTCTTACTTTGCCTGCTTCAGGCCCTCTTCAGTGACATGACCGAAGCTGAGTGATGTCCTCTCCCCTTCGCTGTGTGCATGGCCCACACCTGCTACTGACAACTGCTAATACTTCCCTAGTATGTCATGGAAACTGACTGTCCAGTGCTCTGCCAACACCCTCACTTCTCATTTTCTGAATCCTTGAGAGTCCGTGGAGTACCAGCTTCCCTGATTTCATCTGGTCTGGGCAGCAGAGTGGAGGAGGCCTGGCTCTGTGCCAGTTTGACTTGTACCTCATTTTGTCACCTGGACCACCATGACTTGCATACCCTTTCCTGTGTTTCTCTTAGAAGCTTAGTGAAAACAAACTTTCTATTTCTCATACACGCCTCCTCCCATCCTTGAATCTGGCTCTTGGAATTAGTCATGAAGATGGGATCCTTGATCTCCCGCCAAGGTACCTCTCATCCAGTGTGAGAACTGTGTGCCGAAATGCTCCCCTCTTTTTCTAGACATCCCAGTCTGTGAGTTCCAAGATTAGCCTCTTTTATCCAGGACCTATATTTCACCATATTATTCCCGCTTTAAAAATTAGAAAGCTGAAGCAGAAGGAGAGTTACTCTATTTGTCTGAGTCAGTCACACTGACAGTAATGAAGTCAAGGTTCCAACTGAGGTCCCTCTGATTCCAGAGACAAGTTATCTCACAACTATACTTCATGAGCTTCAAGAGATACAAAAATGAAAAAACAAGGTCCCCTTCCTTAAGGAATTCACAGCCTAGAAGCAGAGTCTACCAACTGTAGATTGGCTCATTTGTAAATGTTGACAATGGCCACTGGCTGATGGGATTAACAATGGGACAATGGGAATTTCAGAGGATCTGGTCTTGTGGAGTACTTTTGCTCTGGGCAAGCTTTTTGCGACCCAGTTTGGTGCCTAAATTGGGATGTGCATTAGAATGTCCTGTTACAAATACAGTTCCCAGAACCTTATCTCAGACCTATCAAATCAGAATTTTTAGATGTGGGGCTCAGGAATCTTTAATAGACTGCTCAGGTGAGTCTTTTGCCGTCAGCCCACATTGCTCCTAAGATGGATATTTGGGACTCACCTTCTTAGAAATTGTTGCAGAGGAATCTGCTTTAGAGACCACTAACTTCTTGGAGGAGACAGAGGAGGAAGTAAAGCAAAGGAGACGAGAGCCAGCAGTTGAGAAAAGGTGTCAAGGGAATAGGCTTAGAAACTCGAGCTATGTGATGAAATATTAGACTCCATTATGAAACACCTGCACAGAAAGGCAGATGGGAGAGACTGAGGTTCTTCCCAGACCTCTTAGCAGCATCTGCTGGTAGCTCTGGCACCGGGGACTTACAAAGAAAAAGCAGCAGATGGTTTTTGTGCAGAAAATTTCAACTTTCAACAATAGGCTGGGATGTTTTTGTTTTTGCTTATTTTTTTAGGCTAGGCAAGTAAAGCAGTGGAAGTGAAGAAGGAACAAAGAAATCTGTAAGTTGTTGTGATCTATTAGTTGTAAACACCACTGCACTCGGACCAGCCTAGGCCGGGCTGTTTTAAATGATATAAATTAGCAACCAGCAGGCAAGCATTCAGTGCTTCTACGTTTGCATGTAAGTTCAGCAAGCCACCCTGCTTTAGACTGCCTCCTGCAGCTGAATTCAGGGTGAGTATTTGGGGAGTCTGGGCTGTCATTGTCTAATAGAAATGGTCTGCTTTCTGATCATCTGCCTGTAGGACACCTGGGGAAGGCTGCTTTCATCTTGCTGTGCGTGACTCTCTCATCTCAGTATGTAATACAGTTCTCTGAGGGACCGGTAATCATCCTCCCAAGTGGCTTATTGCTCAGAAACACAGATTTTTGTCAGATGCATCAACCTAACCAAGAGATTGTTTAGAGACTAGTTTGGGGGCAGAATGCACAACTTGGCTGCCAGAGTAAGGGTCCAGCTAATGTGAATTTAGTGTTTCTTGATTCCTTCAAGAAATTTTTTTTCTGGGACTTAAAGCATGGGAGCAGGGCGAGCTGGGCTGGCATGGCGATGTTTCTATCTGGGCTGAAGAAGGAAGTCCCCACTATGACTGAAGGAAAGCAACAGGTTCCTAAAGAGAATAGTATTTTCGTTTGTTGATTAGTAATTTTATCTGCCACAGGTGATTTTTGTTCTTTTATTCTTTGTTTTCTGCCTCCTTGGGTCGGTGCCCTGCCAGTTCTTGATATCCCTTTCTTTTAACAGGTCAGCATCTCCCAGTGGCATAGACTTGATCTCCTTCACTGTGCGAGCCTGGGGGTCTGGGACCTCCAGCCTCAACAACAGGGCTTTGGTCATAGGCTGTTTCTGTATTGCTGAGAGCTCCCTCCCCAACCACTTCCAGGCTAATCCTTTGGGAGGCAGCAGCTTGAGGCTGTTTTTGATTCAGCCAGTCTGTTACTTACATAGATAGCGAAGGCAAGAGAAGCTAAAAATGTCAGCCCTCTGGGTTCTTGTGCCATGTGCCAAAAGGATGACACTAAAACAAGAGGGGCAAGATGACTTCAACACCAGTTGTGGGACACCCTGTTGCTAAAGAACCAAGTCTACACTGTAGCTAAACAGCCATACAGCTGCAGCTCTGCCCTAAGGAGGCGCGATGGGTGAACTGTAAAGCTCTGTGTTTCTCTGGAACCTGGGAGGTCTATAAGAAAACTTCTTCGTGGAATCCCCTCACAAGATACAGATGAAACAAACAATCTTGTGAAGCCTCCTCTGAAGATTGCCTACCTTGCCATTCTCCTAGAAGGATCACAGGGCATCCCATCCAGATTTAGGTCATATAGCCATGCAAGCTTTGCCTGTATATTCTATGTGGATACATGTGAGATCTCCAGGGTACTGTGGTGGAGCCATTCTCCTGCAAATGGTCTTAAGAACCAGACCAAAGGATTTAGGTTTACCCTTAAATGAATCTGGGAGCTACTGGAAGTTTAAAGCAGGAGAGTAATTTGAGTATTTTTGAGTTTTGTAGAGATCTGTCTGATAAGATTGTAGAGATTATATATATATATATATATGTAAAAAACCATAAGGAGGAAGAAAGATTTGGAGGAAAAGGATGATAGTTTGTGTGAATGAAGAAGAAAGTACAATCACGTAGGAACACGTGGAATGTGAAGGGCTCCATGTGCCGTGCAAGTGACAGGCCTTTGCCCTCATGAAGTTTACAGATTAACAGGAGAGAGAAAACATAGCATAAATGGTTCTAATACAAGGTTCAATATAGTAAGTGCTCTGAGAGGCATAGTGGAGAACCCAGAAGAAGGAGAGCCCTCTTCAGCTGGGTGTCCTCGCGTATAGTAAGTGGTTTATTGATAAGGACAATGCAGTGTTGGACAGGGTAAGCTTTAGGGCTCTTACAAGTTAACATTCTGGAAATCTATGAGGACTAGCTCAGAGAGGCAATGAACCTTATCAACTAACAAAGGTATGAATCTACATAGTTGTATATAGATGGATTATTTGGGATTAAATTGAAAATAAGACAACAGAAATGCAATATAAGAAACAGGAAAAAGTCATATAGGTTAAGCATGGTGAGAGGTGGCAAGGAGGAAGTTTGAGGGCTTTGGATGTTGGGGGCAGGGTCAACTTTCCATTTACCACTGGAAATATTAATAGATGGGTCCTCGCCTCCCACTTTGCACCCTCACATTTTGGCATTTCCATTTTACTTTGTTGTCCTTCCTCCACCCAAGGTGGGGGGACAGTCAATACCCATTGCCTCAGAAAGAGGTGGCATATCAAAAAGAGAAAAACAGAAAATCTTCTCCTGGCTTTTGAGTTACAAAAAACCTAATGGCTTATATGTAGTCATGAAATCACAAATGGGTGTGTTTCATTTGGTTTATACCTTGTTTTGTTGTTTTGCTTAACGGAACACATTTGAATGCTTATAGACTGGGCAGGTAGTCTTTAGTTCACTATAGTCCTGTATTTCATTCATAACTAGCCTTTATCTACAAATTCATATTACCTGCCTGTCCCCAACAGGTATCTGAATTTGGAACCTCTGGCATACATTGTAAAACAAGTTTGGAAGAAGACATAACAATGTATGAGCAGGGTTTCCCAACCCCAAGTCTTTTAGCATCGTAGAAGTCACAAGAAATTCACTTGCACTGCAAGGAAAAACAAGGTTCTCTGAATTCTATGATTATACCTCTGCCACCTGGAGAAACAAGGGCTCAAAATAGAAATTACTTGGCATCTAGAAAAAAATACATTTTGTGCACATGTAGGTTTGTGGGCTATAATTCAATATTACTATTTCATTATATGTACTGTCAAAGTATGCACCGGAGTGTATATTTAACTGAAGGCTTCAGAGCCCTTTGTCTCCCCACCACTGAGCTCAGGGTCCCATCTCTACTGCTCCCTCTCCTCAGCTCTGGGAGCTCCCGGTGGCAGCACTGCAACCTCAGTCTCTCTGTGACCTGCAGGTACTGGGAAATCTGTAGGAAGGATGATGGATAACCCAGAAGCCAGGAAATGGTACTGGAGGATCCATAGGTACTACACTGGGACATGCTGTAAGCTTGGCTTACACTTTCACTGCTATCTACTTGACCCTCTTTTCACTCTTTCTGATCATATTCTCTTCCCTCTTTGTGCTCTCAGGGGAAGGCCCTTTCCCAGGAGTCATTGATTTGTTTGGGGGCTTTGGGAATCTGATAGATTCCCAGAGTGTCCGTAGCTCTGGGCTTTAGGAGACTATTCTCAAATAAAGGGAAACCATGACTTGGGAAGAAATCCCAAAATTTTCTATCACAGAAGTACTATATAAGCAAAGTATTTATTTCTATTACACTTTTGGTGTCATTTTTTTCTGCCCCATTATGAATCTTATAATACAACTCATGAGCATGTACATTGTATAATTTACTACATGATAGTCAATAAGATCCCTAAAGTTTCACACACAGTTGCTATCCTTGAGTTCACTTGGGAGGATAAGACTAGATATAGAATGCATGCTGGAGAGTGGTTCTATAAGCAATTTATATTTACTAACTATAAAAATAAAATCTGTGTTGAGTCAATACATTATTTTGAAGATTTGAGAAGGAGAATAATAGCAAGAAGGGGGGAATCAATGATGCCTTCTTAATGATCTCTTTTATTAGGGAAAAAGGGAACAGAAAATACACTAACAGGAAGGAATTAGGTCAGAAAACACCTACAGAGCACTGATATGTTGCATGGGACACAAGACTCTTTTTTATATTATGTGTTCCACTTCCTTAACATAAATGAACGACTCATGAAATTTAGATTAATCCCACTACCTTATTCTGTCAACAACTTTCCCAATGTTGGAAAAAAACCAATCATTCTATTTATTCAAAATTATTTCATTGACCATGAATTTGAGTTTATACAAAATGGTCAGTAATGCTGTAAGTGGGGTAACAGGGGGAGGGAGTGTGTCCTTTGCAGAAAATCACTTTTTTAAAGTAAATGCAAAAGGGCATTTTCCCCTTGACTCTTTCCTACCTCTGACAATCTCCTTTCTATGGTGGAGAAATGGGCATCAAGAGTCCCTTTTCTGCTCCTGCACTGCCAGAGCCTGTTTTATTATCTGTAGGAGTTTTTCTGCTCATAAATAACCCAAAGCCTTTATTTTGCATTTTCTCCCAAAATAAAATCAAGGACCTCTTGGAGAATCAAGCTGTTATGAGGAACACCTATACTACAATTTCTGTGAAGATATGAAAAAATGGTGGAACAAATGGTGCACACATATGTCAAAGTCTCATATGAGAAATTTCTTTTAGAGCTAAAGGCCTCTCTGGAAGGGCCTCACTTTTTCCTTTCTCCTAAGGAACCGATAAATTTTTTTGAGAATAATTATAACAATGAAACTGACAAGGCAGCCTCTTTTCCTTTAGCTATCTATCAGTAGTTTCAGACCAAACTTACAGCTCTCAAAATGCTCTTTTTTCATGTTCCATGTTTTCTATAACACATACCTATGATTCTAGTTTATATTTTCCTAGATCCTATTTTATTTTTATTATATTCTTTACCTGTTATCTGTGAACAGGTTCAAATCCTTTGTGGAATGAAGTATAAAGGAAAAAGAAAGGAAAGGAGAAAGAGAGGAAGACCCTCAATTCCCCTCCTAATGAGGCAGGGTACAAAATGGCTGTTCAAATGTATATTATAGTCTCTTTACTGCAAACAGCATTGCTATTTATCACTCTATTGAAAAGATTTAAAAGCAGTGACAAGAGCATGAAGTTTTATTTTTCTTAAAAAGAAAAATAATGGAAAATCTGCAAAAAGCTGGAGGTCTTACCATGGCAGGCAGAGATTAGAGACTAAGAAAAAGAGAAAGAAGAAAAAAAAGACAACCATAATAGATTGTGTGTTTATGTAATTCTGCTCCCCTACCCAAGAGGAAAGCAGGGCTGTTTCAGAACAATTTGTCATGCATTGTCCTCATCCCGCCCCCTTGGATCTTAATAAACACTCTGTGAAATAGGTCACACAGGTATTATTTCAACTGAAGAATTAAAGCTCAATTTACTCAAAACCACACAACTAAGATTTACTAGTGTTATATTGGATAAGACAGGAGACTGTGGTGTCAGATACAGCTTGAATTCTGGTTTCTGCTATCAACTATTTATGAGACTTGGAGCATGTCCCCTTGGAGCATAACCCATTTCCTCATCTGTAAAATGAGAACAATGAGTACTTTCTACATATCTCTTTCTTCCTCCTCTGAAAGTTAACTTGGCCAGACATAATGTAAGCTTTGTCTTGACCTCTCTTTGGAATTTAAGTCTCTAACTCACAGTCTTCTCTGCAGGGCAGGAAGCACCACTTGGTCCCCTTGCCAGTTGCCAATGTTGCAGCTGACAGCCACACCAGCAAGTGCCCTTGCAGATGATCCAGTGCACATCCGAGTGACAGGCCTACCCCCATTCCAGGTGGTGACCCTCAAGGCCTCGCTGAAGGATGAGAAGGGTAATCTGTTCCAGTCCAAAGCCTTCTACAAGGCCAATGGGGCTGGCCAGGTGGACCTGGAGCAGACTCCGGCACTCGGTGGCGACTACGTAGGGGTCCATCCGATGGGCCTCTTCTGGTCTCTGAAGCCTGAAAAGGCTTTCCAGAGGCTACTCAAGCAGGATGTGATGCACAGCCCCTTTTGGGTCACTCTGGACCTATATGATTCCATTTGCTTCCATGATTCACCCACAGTTCAACCATGGGCCAGCCAGATGGTGCAGCGCTGGTTCTCGGGCCCTGGGGTACAGAGGAAGCAGATCCGAGAAGGTCGAGTGCGAGGAGCCCTTTTTCTTCCTCCAGGTGAGAGTAATCTTTCGTGATGCAGAAAACATTGTTGATGGAAATAAAAAAAAAATGGCATCAAATTATCGGAGAACCAGCATTTCCTATGTTTAAAAACAGATACGCTAGTGTGTGTGTGTGTGTGTGTGTGTGTGTGTGTGTGTGTGTGTGTGTGTGTGTGTATGTATGTGAAGATGGAATTAATTTTGCTTGGATTACACTTTCACTGCTATCTACTCGACCCTCTTTTCACTCTTTCTGATCCCATTCTCTTCCCTCTTTGTGATCGCAGGGGAAGGCCCTTTCCCAGGAGTCATTGATTTGTTTGGGGGCTTTGGGAATCTAATAGAATTTCGGGCCAGTCTTTTGGCAACCCGTGGCTTTGCAGTGCTGGCATTAGCATATGTTGCCTATGAAGACCTGCCTGACAAACTGCTGGAGGTGGACTTGGAATATTTTGAGGAAGCTGCCAACTTGCTACTAGCTCACCCCAAGGTATTTAAAATAGTTTTCATTTCTACCTTGCAACTTTACAGAAAAAAAGTCACAAATGTCTTCTCTGCCTGTTTCACCACACTTGGGCATAGCACAGCTGACAGTTAAACGGGAATGGTAATATCTGCTTTGCAGATTGTTGAGTTGATTTGTGACCAGTTTGGTGCTTACTGTCACATACAAGACGAAAAATGGTGGCCATATTATGATATTTTCACTGGAAAAAAGCCAAGACACCCGGCATTTGAAGTGCTTGTAATTTACTCATAAGTGGCTCATTGATGTTTAATCAGCCACTGATCTCAAATCATGAATTCTCTGCCTTGATGTGTTTTCCAACTTCAGTGGTTATCTCTGCAGGGGGAATGCTAGAGTAAGTCACACCAAAGAGTCCTGAGATTAAGAACAATGTAGAAGTTCAGAACTAGACTGGGGCAAAAAAAAGGAACAAGAATAACAACAAAAACGAACTGGGTGCAACCATTGAATAACCGAAATAACCCCTTAAGTAATAAAAAGTTCAAAACCGGAAGCAAAACCAAAACAAAGGGCCCGGGGTTAAAGGCAAAAACAAAGGCAGAAAAAGGAATCTGAAAAGGAAGGATCATTTTAGAACTCATTGTCAAGTATCATTCCACTATTGAAAGTGTGATCCATGAACCAATGACCTCAGCATTACCTGGGAGCTATTAGAGATGCTGAATCTCATTTCCCACCACTGAATCAGTGTCTGCGTGTTAACAAGATCCCCAGGTGATTCTTATGCACATTAAAGTTGGAAAAGTAGAATAGTACATCTTAAGCCCAGCTTTTTCTAAGAATTAAATATCAGTTATGATTTAGTTCTCTTGAGGAGGTCCCAAAGTACTGACATTTGTGTTAATGACTAAAAAAGAGAAAGATAGGAATAAATACCACACGATCAAGTGTCAGAATTGATATTTTATGAAGTTAAAACATTGACTGCCACATTGGCAAAAAAATTTTTTTCCCTGGAGCCCTAGTGTTTTATTAAGTTTTCTTATTTTTAGAATAATCTCACTAACGTTGATTCTTCACTGATAAAAAAGAAAAGAAAGAAAGAATGAAATAAAAAAAAAGATAAATAAAAAATAAAAAGAATAGAATAAAAACTTTGAAAGACAAAACAATCCTTTGTAATTTAATGAAAAATTTGTTATTTTTTGTTGTTTTCTCTGCATGAGTTACATGCAACTTGAAAAATAGTTCATAAGGGTAAAAGTAAAAAGATGTGTGAGTTACATATGCTTCACGAGGTCCTGGGCTCAAAACTAGCATGAGTTAAAGATAACTCACATGACAATTGATGTGTTAAACCATATTGTTTTGCAGGTCAAAAATGTTCAAATATCACCTAGAATTATGAATCAACGTAACAATGGTAAAACAATAATATCAGATAACATTTATTGATTGACTTTATTAGATTTCACCCTAAATACTTTATATGCACTATCCCATTAAACACTTATAGCCTTACGAAGTAAGTATCGTCAATGTCATTCTCATTTTTTAGATGAGAACGGGTATTTAGATTAAGTTATATTGTAAAACTACCTAGTCAGTAAGTAACAGAGCCATTCTGATAATGTCTTTGCTCTAAATCATTAAATTATCTTGACTCTCCAACATGTATCATTCTTTCCCACCCCAGCCCTAGAGAGCCTTGACTCTTCTCAAGGAGACAGATAAGATAATGTTTCTAGCTAGAGCATCATCAACATCTTCATCTTTAGGGTGGACAAAACGCATGTGTGATTTTACTAAGCCTATCTGGATCTTTTTAAAGGATTGCCTACAAGGGATTAAATCCCAGATAAAATGTTTTCAAGTTAATTATTTAAATTTCAAATTTAACTGTTTGTGACATTGTCTGAGGAAGAAAGTCACTTGCAAAAATTCAGTTTGGATTTAGATTTAGCAGATGGGCTTCAATATCCACCCCTGCCCCTTCACACTGTTGTGACCTTGGGCAAGTCTTTTAAACTTCCTGAGTCTCAGTTTTACCATTGGAAGGACTGAGAATAATATGTGTGAAGCACTTACCCTAGGGCCCAGCATTCAGTAAACTCTCAATAAATCCACCTGTCATCTTTGCCCATCTGGTTTCTCTTCTCTCTCTTTCCCTAAGCTGTCAACCAATCCGGAATACTGTTTTAGCTTACTGATCAATTTCCTATTTCCAGTTACAGCCTTCACTCCCTCATCCATCCCTCATATGGATGGTTCCAAACTATCCCTCATATGGATGGTTTCCCTGGGGGACATTTTACAGTATCAGATTCTTGGGTATCAGACCTATCAGAAGAGACACTCAAAAAATCGGATCTCAGAAAGCTCTAATTTTAAAACTTTTATTCCAGGTAATTCTGATGACAGAAAGGTGGTACTATTGTGGGGGTACTATTGTGAGCAAAATAAACAAACTAGGTCTCTTCGTACTTCATTGTCCAGAGTCCCCTTCTTTTCCTCCCTTATCTCTTAGACTTCTTCCCCTCTCCTGTGCTCCCTCAGTGTACCAGGGAATTAATGATTCCCTTCTACAACCTACAACCTTTTCCTGCAGGGCTGGGTACTATAATTCAATTATTTATTGAATCCAAATCTTCCATCTTTATATTCCTAGTGCTTTCAGGACTAGCCCTTGAATTCATGAAGTTAATACATGGGCAAAACCTTTGTAGCTATAAAATGCTATTTAAATGTGAATTACACTTACATAATATTTGAGAGAACCAGAGAAATGTCTTTTTCTGGCTAGAAACAAGAATTTGATTCTTCAGACAGCTTACCTGTCTCAGGTACATTTGACTTTGCATTTATAGAACTCTACCTTTGATGAAGAGTGTGTTTTTTTTCTACTTTTTCCCACTTCATCCTGATAACAACCTTGCAAAGTAGGTAATATCACCTCCACAAAACAATAAAGCTTAGAGAGGCTAAGGAGGTAACGTTCTCTGTCACAGAAGCTGGTAAACCTGAGTACCAGGAGGACTCGACATTCTTTGACTTTCCATCATACTGGTTTGTTGGCGTGGGTAGGACAGCTCTTTCTCAGAGTCTGACATATAATGAGTTTCCCTTTGTTTTGTGCTTCAGATCCAAAAGCCAGGAATTGGAGTGATCTCCTTGTCCAAGGGTGCAGAGATCGCGCTGGCCATGGCCTGCTACCTGAAGCAAGTGGTAGCCACCATCTGCATTAACGGGTTCAATGCCGTCTCCAATGTTCCGCTCAGGTACAGGGATCTGGTTGTGACACCCATCCGCTCAGGTGGGGAGCGCATGCAGGTGCACATCTCTGGAGCTGTGTGCTATCGCCACTGTCACGGAGATCCCCGGGATCAGCTGAATCGGCAGAGCGTGCTTCCTGTTGAAAATGCCCAGGGCTGGATCCTTTTCATCGTTGGAGAAGATGACGAATGCATCAATAGCAAAGCCTATGCTGAGCAGGCCATGGACCAGCTGCAGAGCCATGGCAGAAGCTGCGGAAGGATTCTAGTGTACCCAGGTGCAGGCCACCTCATAGAGCCACCCTACGCTCCTTTGTGCTTCGCGTCCTGGGTCCGGGGCTTTTCCTGGCCCTTCCTCTGGGGAGGGGTCCCTGCTGCCCACGCCGCAGCCGAGGAGCACGCCTGGGGAGAAATCCAGAAATTCTTCAGGCAACATCTCATTCAGACCAGATGCAAACTCTGAGCCAGGGCTGAGTGATGATGGGGGTTGGTGGGGCAGAAGAGACCCGAGTTGGGGAATAACTAGGATAAGGCAAGAACGAGGGGGGAGAGGGTTTCTCCCTGGCTTCGCTAGATTCACACTCATCTTGAATCAGCTGGAAGTCAGACTAAAGGAAAGGGCCGGGGCACACTTGCATCTGAAGTATTTCTGAAAAATTTGTGCTTCAAATTTTTGTACATGGAATCTTAGTTTATGCATACTAGGGTACACTGCCATTTCAAAGTCATGATAGCCTTGGAAACCGAATAATCTTTTATATCTCAGTTAGAAATATTTTGGATCCAGGCATTGCCAATCTAGATGAATTCCCTGGAACTCCAAGTTGCTTGCAAAAGTACATCTTCTGTTTAAGCCATTTTGAGTTGGGTTTCTGATCCTTGATATGAAAAGTTCTAATACCACTATTGAATGTAATGTTTGCTGTAGATTTTCAGTAGGTACTTAAAAAAACATTTTTTTTTTGCTAGAATAGTGATGCTTTTCTTTATTTCTTTCTCTCCCTCTCTCTGTCTCTCTATGTATATATTACCATTTTAATCAGGAATAGGATTGAATTTAATCGAATGCTTTTTAGTATTTATTAAAATTAAATCTGTTAATAATTTTAAAGCTGTTACTACAGCATCTGGCACATAGCAATTACTGTTATCAGAGTTAGCCATTATTATTTACATAACGCTTTTCCTCTTGAATGTGGTGAATTGCATTCAGTAGTAGACTAATTTTGCTTATTTATCTAATTTTGATGGATGAATTTCTCATATTGACTAATTTGTGTTTTCTTTTGGAGCCAATCTAGTCATTTATATTTCTCAGAATTTCACCATGTTTTCTAGAACATATTTTTTTCTCTTATAATTTTTTACATAGCCCCTGTTGTTGATATGCATATTTTCTTTTGTTCCTCTCAGTCTGACTTGCTAAATATTTGTCAATTTTTTTCAGGGACAACTTTTGTTTTATTTATTGGTCAGATGTATTTTTTACTGATTCATTAATTTCTGATTTTTAAAAATAAATTAATTTCTGCTTCTGTTTTTGTATTTTTCTGGCTTTGTGATATGCAGTGCTCTCATTTTGTTAATTTCTAAATAGTTTCTGATTTATTTTTTGTTCCTCTTAAATCCAAGAGTATTTTTCGAAAGTACACATTATCATCCAGTAGATAATCTGCCCTTATAAGGTGGTTGAGGAGAAGAATGTCACTTTGCCATGGAGAAAACAGGTTATCACCACCTGAAGCCACTGCTTAAATTTAGCATCTGTAAAAAGGATCAATTTGACATAATGTGCTTCATGATGGGATGTGATGTGGAGTGCCCAGCAGTACTCAGAACTATTCCTAACAATGCTGTTGAATCTAATGATGCCTTTAATAGTTAATTGATATATACTGTGACTGGAGAACAGGTAGTACAAGTTAACAAATCCAGATTGTGTTTCAAAAGTAAGAACGTTAGCATGTACTGCATCTTTTTCTCCATGGAATTCACCATTAATTTCAGATTATTAATTTTTTTACAATAAATAGTAATTTAATCATAATGATGCTTTTACAGTTTCTTTGCTACTTGCTATTTCTTATAGCCCATTTAAAAAAAAATTCTTGGCTTTATCTTCCATTTTTCCAAAGTGCAAGCTCACATAATTCATTTAAAAGATTCATATTCATTTGAATCTTAGCACTTCTGAAAATATCTATATTTTGCTCTAAGTCCTCAATTATAATTTTTATAGATATAGATATAGGATTTGATATTAACAATTATTTCTCTCAGCACTTTGGTCTTTTTTTTTTTTTTCAATGTCCATTGTTCCCAATGAGAAATCTGATTCTCATTACTCTGGGGAATCTTCTCTTCTCTTCTCTTCTCTTCTCTTCTCTTCTCTTCTCTTCTCTTCTCTTCTCTTCTCTTCTCTTCTCTTCTCTTCGTCTCTCCTTTTTACAATTTTTTCTTTGTTGTGAAATTTCATCAAGATATGACTAAGGGTAGGTTTATTATTATTTTTTTATTTTGTTTGGCACTATATGGGCCCTTTCAAACTAAAAACTTATCTCTATGCTATGGTTAGAATGTGTTCCCTCCCAAATTCAGGTGTTGAAACTCAATGGCCAATGTGGTAGTATTAACAGGTGAGACCTTTAGTTGGTGATTAGGCCATGAAGGTTTCTCCCTCTTTAATGGGGGGGGGGAGTTCCTTATAAAAGAGGCTACAGTCTGCCTTCAGCTTTCTCCATCTTCAGTCCCTTCTGCTGTGAGAAGACATGGTGTTCCTCCATTACTGTGTAATAAGGTACTGTTTCAAAAGCAGAGAGAGCAGCCTTCACGGGCACTGAACCTGCCAGCACCTTGATCTTTGACTTCCAGCCTCCAGAACTGTGAGAAAAAATTTTCTGTATTTTATAAATTACCCAGTCTCAGGTATTCTCTTATAGCAGCACAAATGTAGTCAGTCTATCTTCAGCTTTAGGATATTTGCTTCTATTAATTACCTGACGACTTCCCCCTTTCCAGTTTTTCTGTCCCTTCCTCTGGAAGTCCTATTAAAAAGGATATTGGAGCTTCTGGATGTATTCTCCATGAATATTGAATTTTTTTTCAGACTTTTACTTTTTTTGCCCTTCCCTTCTTGCATTCCTAGAGAATTCTACAGTTTTAGTTCAACCAGCTGATTTGTTCTTCAGCTGTGTTCAATCTGCTGTTTAGCTTATCTCTTGGGTTTTATTTTGATCATTATTTTTAATTTCAATTATCTCTAATTAGATCTGTTCTTTAAAACCTATTTTTACTTTATAGATAGGTCTGTATTTCCTATTCCTCCTTTCACCTGTGGCTTTCACAAACACACTCAGGTTCTGTACAGGGTATTGCCATTGTATTTATTTATTTATATTTGCTTCAGTTACGCCAAACTAAAATTTTTAATTATTTTAATTTTTAATTATTTTGGGTATGTAATAGTTGTATATCTTTATGGGGTACATGTGATGTTTTAATACAGGCATACAATGGCAACTAATCAAATCAGGGTAATTGTGGTATCTATTACCTCAGGCATTTATCATTTCTTTGTGTTAGAAATAGTCAAATTCCATTCTTTTAGTTAAAGTATACCCTAACTTATTGTTGATTATAGTTATTTTGTTGTGCTATCAAATATTGTTCATTCTAACTAACTATATTTTTGTACCCATTAATCATCTGCACATTATCCCTGCCCCTTCTACCCTTCATAGCTTCTGGTAACTATCATTCTACTCTCTGTCTCCATGGGATCAATTGTTTTTAATATTTAACTCCCACATACGAGTGAGAACATGTGAGATTTGTCTTTTTGTGCTTGGCGTATTTCACTTAACATAATGTTCTCCAGTTCCAACCATGTTGTTGCAAATGGTGGGATTTCATTCTTTCTTTGTGGCTATATAATATTTCATTGTCTATATGTACCACAATTTTTTATCCATTTATCCATTGATGGACACTTAGGTTCATTCCAAATCTTGGCTATTGTGAATAGTACTACAATAAATATTGGAGTGCAGGTATCTTTTTGACATACTGAATTCCCATCCTTTGGATATATACCCAGCCCTGGGTTTGCTGGGTCATATGGTAGTTCTATTTCTCATTTTTTGAGAAACCTCTACACTGTTCTCCATAGTGGTTGCACTAATTGACATTCTTATCAATGGTGTATGATGATTTCCCTTTCTCCACATCCTCACCAGTATTTTTTCTTGCCTATTTGATAAAAACCATTTTAACTGGGGTGAGATGATATCTCATTGTAGTTTTGATTTACATTTCTCTGATTAATGATGAGCAATTTTCATATATCTGCTGACCATTTGTATTCTTTTGAGTATTCAGATCCTTTGTCCGTTTTTTTAATTGGATTATTTTTTTTTTCTATTGAGCTGTTGGAGCTCTTTGTATATCCTAGTTATTAATCCTTTGCCAAGTCAGTAGTCTGAAAATATTTTCTCACTTTCTATGGGTTGTCACTTTACTTTGTTGATTGTTTCCTTTGCTGTGCAGAGGTTTTTAGCTTGATGTGATCTCATTTGTCCAATTTTGCTTTGGTTCCTTGTGCTTTGGGGGTATGAGGGGGTATTGAGTCTTTGGGGTTCTCAGTTTGACTATTGTTGGTGTTTAGGAATGCTACTGATTTCTGCATGTTGATTTTATAATCTGAGACTTTGCAGAGTCTCTCATTGTCTTCCCTAGGGGAGTGACATGGGCATTCCCTTGTGGCTACCAGAGCCAGATCACACCTGAAGTCAACCCAGTCTCACCCAGTGCCAGTGGTGACTGTTGCCTGCCTATCTGTGATATTTATTTAAAGACCAAGGGCTCTTTAGTCAGCACGTGGTCAATACTGCCAGAACTAGGTCCTTCCCTTTAGGAAAGAATGTTTCCTTTTTGTCCAGGAATGCCATCCAGGAACTAAGGCCTGGACTCAGGGGCTTCAGGAGTCTGCTTGGTACTTTATTTTAGTATGCCTGAGCTGGAATCTCAGTTGCAAAACAAAATCCTCTGAATTCTTCCCTTTCCTTTCCCCAGGTGGAATAAGATTATCCCTGAGCTGCACTGCCTGGAGTTGGAGGAGGGGAGGTGACACAGGCCCTGGCTTGGCCACTGGTACTGGTGTCTCACTGGATCATGTGCACCCCAAGTCTACTGGCTGGAGTTGGGGGAGTTGGCTGTTGTCAGGCTCACAAACCCTGAGTTGGCTGTTGCCATGGTTGTCACTGGGTCATGTGCATCCCATGCTCACTGGCTAGACGCTAGCACTGCCACAGGAATTTCCCAAGGACTACAGCATTTGTGGCTCAACTGCTTTATTAATTTAGTCCAGGCCCCAGGTTTATTTTTGCCAGCTGGTAGTGGGGCTAGCCTTAACCCAGGTTTTGGGGAGGAGAACTTCCCTCTGGCCAGGCTGGTTTAAATGCACTCTCTCAGGGCACCAGCAGAATTCAGTCCTGTGCTGTGTTACCCTGTGCCATGGTGTCCCTGAGTTCCAACACAAAATCCCATAATCATTTGCTCTCCCTCCCCAAGCACACAGATTCTCTCTCCTCGTGGTGTGCTGGCGTGGCACTGCTGGCAAGCATGGGGTGCAGGGGAGGCAGGGTGGTGTAGGCAACTCGAGATTGTCTTTTCTGCCCTCTCCAGTGCTTCTTTCTTTGATGTAATGCTAAAACGAAGTAGTATGATCACACACCTGAGTTTTGGTTTTTTTGAAGGTGCTTGCTTATGTGGATAGTTGTTGAATTTAGTGTTTGTGCAGAGGGACAATTGCTGGAGGTTTCTATTTGGCCATCTTGCTCCACCCCCTCTCTTTTACCGTATTAAAAAAGAAACAATGGGGTCCCCTTGTTGGGATTAGGAAACTCTCTTAGCACCACCCAGATCTTTACTTTTCAGGGATATGATTTCAGCAAAATGCAACGTATCTTTTTCACTTTCTTCTTTGCAAGGCTCTTCTGAGATCTCAGCTCCCAACTCTACCATTTAATCTTGGCTTGATTATACCAAATGCACAGAAAGTGATTTTTTTTTTAAGTTGTCATGCTTAAATCCCTGAAATGGTGAATCAATTCATAATTGGTGACTATTTAGGGAATTAGCCTTAAATATGGACCTCACTGGGCCCAAGGCCCTGAACCAGAGAAAGCCTTACCAGACAATGGGCAGCTGTGGTGGAGTTGCACCTGCTACCTTCACACTTAAACCCGGAGGCTTCTGAAGAACAGAAGAAACACCAAAATGAGAAAACACCTGACTGCATGATCAGTACTAAAGGCAGAAACTGTTGGCTATAAAGTCGAGAAATGAGAAAGAAGCCATAAATATTTTGTACAGAATTACATGTAATGAGTCTGCTTGACTTATTAAGCCTGGTTTTACCCAATTCTAAAATGCTAAAGAACATCACTTAAAATTAGAAAAACAAATTGCTTTATAGGATGATTCATTGGAGAGATAACCTTATGTAACAACATGAAACATCAGCCCAAGGGAAAAGTTGTTCTCTGTTCCAAAGAACTTGAGATAAATAGATAGATAAATGGAAATTCTATTATGATTAATAGGGAGATGTAAGCACATTTTTCCTTTAAATAAAATGTCTTTGAGGAGAAAAGCATCACCCTCACTCTACCCTTCATTCTTCATGTGGATTTATTTGGCTTCAGAAGACCATATCCTTTTGTAGATGCAAACATACAGGATACCAAAAGGAGTGAGCCAGGCTGAGGACAGAGGCACCAGCCTTGAGTGATGCAAAGTTGATTTTTTTTTTTTTTCTGGCAGAGTCATTTCTAGTGTTAGAAGTGCATGTGGCATTACTGGGGTTCCCATGAGAAGCAGAACTGTTAGGGGGCCGATGGATGGGCTGGGGAGTAGACCCAAACTATATTTTCCTTTTCAGCTTTTCCTCCATCACAAGGCTCCTATGAGTTAGGGGAGTTAGATTTGGAAAAGTCTCCTCTAAGAAGAAAGTGTTACTGAAAGCTGTCATCTCCTTATGTTCAATGAAGCTTAAAACCCTGCTGAGTCTACCTTCCAGAGGTAACTTCTGTTCCTAAAGACAACTCTCTGACTTCTTATTGACAACTCAGAGGTTGACTCTCTGGGTAGGTTGAAGATTGAGGATTGCTAGGCCACCAGAATGGGCTTCTGAGTGTCTTAATAATTTAAAGAATTATTTTATTTACCTAAACACACACATTCTCTCTGTCTCTCTCTCTCTCTCTGTCTCTCTCTCTCTCTCTCTCTCTGTCTCTCTCTCTCTCACACACACACGATGACCTCTCAGTCATGCCATTATTAGGGTTTATCTCAGCAGACCTGGGAACCGAAAAGTATAAACACTTGTTTTTGTTGAGGTCTCTTCATTGTGACTCTTCAAATAACCCTTGCCCAGTAGATAAAGCTTAGAACAAAAGACATGAGCCAGAATACATTTTGTGATAACTTTTTCTTCTCTTTAGAAAAAAAAAAAATATGTACAAAAAAATCTAAGAAGAGCCAATATGGAAGTATTGAGAAAACATCCTGATAGGTACAGACAAAGGAGCTCCTTCTCTCAAAGAAGTTACACATTAGTTATCACCATGCTAGAAAAATGAGATGCAGTTAAAATTCTAGAACAATTAAAAGCCACAAAGTGAAGCTGTTGCTCTGGGGCTCTATGCTGTAGATGTTCGGATTCCCTTTCTGTAAAATAATACTGTGCAAACTGTAAAATATTCATTTTCATATAAAGTCCATACAATATGATATACAAAACTGTTGAGTTGACAGGGAAGGCTGGTGATGGCTATATTTTGGAAAGGAGGCTGCAGTGTCACCTGCCTGCCCAATGACATGACTCCATAAAGATCTTGAGTTCTGAGGTGGGTGACACCATTCTCTAAGAAAGCATCACATAACCCCAATACCCCCCAAATCCAGTATTTTATGACAATTGTTTGTAGAACAAGGTGGCTTCATTAACTTATTACTTTAACTTTGAGTGCAACGACCTGTTGAGAGATCAAAGTACAAAATTCTTTTTGAAGATAAATTATTTTCCATAACTGATCTTGAGATTAATCATTTAACCAGCATTGTCTTTCCTGCAACTCAAAAGTTTTAACTTTCATTAAAATTCAAAAACTCTGGAAGAGGCAGCAACTGTGGTAATAAAACTTTAAAGTGAATCGTTATACTTAGTTCTGTTTATAAAACTGAGAAAAGAAGGTTTGTGTACAAATATCACAAAACAACATCAACCATTGAATAAATGTGGTTCTTCAATGCACACTTGAATAAGAAGTTTTGTTGTTTTTAAAATTCTGGCATAAATATATTAAAGCTGACCAAAAAAAAAAAAAAAAAAAAAAAAAACTACATCACTCTAGCCTGTGCAACAAAGCGAGACTCTGTCTCAAAAAAAAAAAAAAATTCAGGGCAAGCTACATCACTTCCTTATACAAAAAATGTACAAAACATTAGCTTCTAACTAGATAAACATAATATTTGTCCTCACAGTTTGACATTGGGTAACTGTGTATTTTGAAGTATCGAGTTGGAAGGTGATTAAAAAAACAGCTTGTGACATGTCAGTTGCTTCAGGTAACTTCGGTCATGGAGGCAGAGTGATTCTGCAGAACAAACAGAAGCAGATAGAATTTTAGAGCTGGATCGATGGAGGCATGCACATACTCCCCTGAATAGTCTGGTTTTCTTAGTCTCCTCGAGTTTGCACAGGCTGTTCCCTCTCCCCGGTTTGCTCTTCCAAGGCCCCTCAAGTTCCATTACCTCTCTTGTTAAATCTCCCCTAGTTTTTCTTAAACCAAAATAGGATGATTTCTTCATCTAAACTTGTTCTCTATATAATTCTATCTTATACTTAACTATTTTCTAATATAAGCAGTTAAGGATCTCAAAGTAACTGTAGTATCCCAAAAGTTTTTAATGTAATGTTTTCAATATAGAACAGTTCCAATTTTTAAAAAGCTATGACTTATCCTCTGAGTCATGAGTTATATAGAAATGAGTTTGATGTTTCAAAATGTATAGGGTTTTTATTTCTAGTTATCTTTTTCATTTTCCTAGAGAATATGGTCTACATAATACAGATCCATTAACATTTCTGGACACTTGCTCCATGGCCTTGTACATAATCTATTTTCATAATGTTTCATGTGTTTTGAGGAGAATTACATATAATGCACATTAGATCAAACTTACTAATAATGTATATTCTTACTATTTTTGTTTGCTTATTACTGAGAGAAATGTGTTTAAAATCTATAATTGAAGAGGCCTTATATTTTATTTGAACTTATTTGAAGTCCTTTTATTTGAACTTAAATCTCAATGCTCTGGGTCCATGATATTGGCAAATATTTTTAAAAACTGTGGCTTTAATTATTATGAGTTTCCTGTTTCCTGTTTGTTTTTTTTAGGACATTGGGGATTTACATTATATTCTCGAGCTCAGCTATACCCTTTAGAAACTATTTTGTATTTTTGTACTTTTGTCTGTTAACCTTGAAAACTGAGAGTATTTCTTTCCCTAAGGCAAAAAATAACTTTCCTTTTATGCTTTTACTTCTATAATATGATTTTCTCTTGTAATTTTTTTTGGGGGGGGTGGGTCAATACTTTGATCACTTATATAAGATTCCATCTATGACTAAGTGGTAAAGATAAAGGATGTCTCAGGAGGAAGGAAAGGAGGGTGACTGTCCCCTCCCCATCCAGTCTTCTCCTTACAGTATTTTGAATGGCAGGATAGATTTCATGTGTATGAATGTGTGCTCTTAAGAGAGGTTCTAATTGCTCAGATCCCAAAAGGTTCTCTTCCTAGGAAGATTATTCTATTCCAGAAATTACAAACAAGCAGTTTCTAACAGAAACTAGCTGTTGGAGTTGCACAGGAAGATCTTGCCCACAGGAGAAAACACAGGAGATATTTATTTTTGAAGAACTATAACTCAGATCAAACACACCAGCCCTTGTAACATATTTCAATATTCACAGCTGGGAGCTGTAGATTTCAAAAAGGTATGTTCCTTGAATAAAATCTCAGGCTGTGTGGTATGGTAGAATAGGCAGGGCCTTTAGAATTAGATGGTTCTATGTTTAATTCTGACTGGGTGACCTCGGGCATGTTACTTAAACTCCTGGCACCTTAGTTTCCTTACCTGTAAAATGGGATAATACCACCAATTGCAGGATTATTGTGAGGCTTAAATGAGATGGCTCTCAATAAATTCTAGTTCTCTTTTCTTGACCAACAAATACAGGGTTTATCTTTCCTAACTTTCCACATGGAAACATTTCATACCCACAGTAGATGCTTGGTTACTTGAATCTTTCCCAACTGATATGTACAGCGTAACTTGGGAGGCAATACTTCCTCTTCAGCTTCCTGTGGCTTCATTTTGACTAGCCTGAAGAAGCCTCCTCATCTTTTCTCACAAATCTCTACTTTCCATGGGGGTTCAAATAGTGACTACGTTGCAATGTGAGGTTCTTGGTTCTGGCTAATGTTTCTAGTTCAGGTTTTTGGTTCTAGTTTATATCCATGCATCCAACATTTATTTCGTATCTAGTGAATGCCAGGAAGTATGAAGACTAAGACACATAGTTCACAGAGTCCTGATCTCAAAGATCTCTAAGTCCTTGCCAGAGGCAGATATGAGGGAACACTTGGTTCTAATTGTGAGGACAATTATATGAGTTGGGCCCTGAGAGTCATTCGGCCCAAGCCTAGTATTCAGGAAAGGCCTCCAATTGTATGCAGATGAGGTGGCAAAGCTATATTGGTAGGTTTGAAAAAAGTTCAACTGCTGCCTGTAGTAAACAATTTACGTATACATATATGTAAATTCATAAGAAGGATTCTTAAATATATTAAAGAATGTATCTTATGAATAGCACTTTTTAAAACCCTGGTTAGCACTTCATTTTTCAGTGTAAGTAGAATCCCCCAAAATATGGCCTGGATGTCTCTAGGCCTGGCCAACTATCATCAGTCCTGAGGGTGAAGAGAAAAAGAAATCTGGTGAAAGTATTAGAGGGATAATGCTTGAGCAGTGTTGGGCGGAAGGATGGGATGCGAACAGAGTGTTCTTTGATCAGCATATTCAGGGGACAATATTGACAAGGACACAGAGATTGTGATATGTTTGTGGAACTCAGCAAATATTTTCTTTTTTAAAATTTCTTCAGCTCAGAGATAACCACTCTGATGTCACTTGGCACAGAAACATAATTAGGTAGGGAAGAAAAGCTAGAGAGATTCTATAGCACCTTCATTAAAAGGTATCATTATTTAGCTAATTTATCATTCAACCTGTACCAATAGTCTGTATATTAATAAACCAGAAATATTTTCAATATTTTATTTCTAATTAGATCAAGTCAAAATGTTCACCTTAACACATTTTAAGGGAAAACAATAGGAAGCTAAGCAGGGTCGAAAAGAAAAAAAAAGGTGGGGGAAACAAAAATACTTGACACTGTGTTTAATGGAGAGCCCTAAATATTTTCCCTGGAATAGAGAGAGCTTTATCATTTTGGGTTTTTTCCCCTCTGGTTCATTAATATTAGATTTCATTAAGGGTGAAGACATAGGATAATTTATCTCAGATGTCTGATTGTTAATAATCTTTAAATAGTGAAATATATTATTTTATATTGCCCTGAGATGAAGTATATGATAATTCCAACAAGCGGTGATTTGCTTTTCCCTTACACTAACTATAAAAATGTCTTAGTAAGAAAATGCCAAATGCAAACAAGATTTCAAGATAAACAGACTGTTACAGAAAAAAAACACTTAAGCAGGACTCAGCTACCTGAAAAAGGTGGCAGGCTAATAAATCCTGTTTTATTATTAGTTGTGCCCCTCTCTGCTTAAAGAACTGCTTAAAAAACTCATCCCAGCTCTCTTCCTATGTGGCCTTGGGCAAGGAATTTAACACCTCTGTCTTCAGTATCTTATCTCTGTGAAATAGGAATTATAGTATCTATTCAGTAAGGTGGCTGTTCAAATAAGAATATATTTGTAAAGCACCTAGCAATTGTCCTAGGCAAAAGTAAGTACGTAATACCATCTTTCCAGTTGGCAAGTCTTTTCTGTGGCTTTCCTTACTTTCTCACAGTAGATCTTTTCCTCATTTGCATTCACACAACACTTTGTGGAACTCTGATTCGGCATGTCATATTATGGTTACTCATTTATCTCTACCTTTCCTTCTCATCTGTGAATTGTTTAAGGACAAGGACTATAGCTAATATGTTTTGCACCCCTGGCATGATGCAAGGGTTCTGTTGCATAACATAAGATCAGGAAATAATGTTGTATTGATTTTTGTCATCAGAACAGGTTCCAAAAGGACATTTAGTTTAGTAGCCTTTTTTCTCCCTTTCTCTCTTTCTCCCTTTCTCCCTTTCTCCCTTCCTCCCTTCCTTTTTTTCTTTCTTTTTTCTTTTTTTGACAGAGTCTTGCTTTGTTGCCCAGGCTAGAGTGAGTGCCGTGGCGTCAGCCTAGCTCACAGCAACCTCAAACTCCTGGGCTCAAGCGATCCTACTGCCTCAGCCTCCCGAGTAGCTGGGACTACAGGCATGTGCTACCATGCTCAGCTAATTTTTTCTATATATATTAGTCGGCCAATTAATTTCTTTCTATTTATAGTAGAGACGGGGTCTCGCTCTTGCTCAGGTGGTTTCAAACTCCTGACCTCGAGCAATCCGCCCGCCTCCGCCTCCCAGAGTGCTAGGATTACAGGCGTGAGCCACCGTGCCTGGCCTAGTAGCCTTTTTAATGTGCCTCCAGCTTATGTCAGTGGTTGTAGCAAAACTTTTTCTTTTCAAATTACTAAGTCAAATAATTCCCAATTACTAAGTCAAATTGGCCTTTCATGTGATTGGTCCAAATTCCATAAATGTGGCATTATATGAGAGGCCAAAGTATCTTGAAGCAGGTGGGGTTTAAGTTAGACATTACTAAGAACTTCCTGAGGATTCATGCTTGTCCACCCCAGAGTAAAGACAGAACTAATTGAGGGAAACAGTGAAGACTCCTTTCTCGAGGGCCTTTACAATGAATGAATCAGATTTTTATGGTAAGTTTGGTGGCGTCAGTGGATGGATTGACCTCCCAAGGTTGTGGGTTTGAGCCTGTGGGTGGGTTAGGTTTGCTAAAACTGCTTTACTATACCTGTGCACTTAGGGTTTCCAGAGGGCTTTCTATCCTTGGGAAAGCCATTAGGGGTACTCCACGGGGATCCTCAGGTTTGGGTTTGGAAGGAGATCCTTGCGTTCCTTTAAAGTTATGAACCACACACATTCCCTGCAGGATGAGGGGAAAAAAGAGCGGGGTAAGACTCCAGCCGTCCATGCCTGGCCACCTGTGAGTGTGGAGGACTTTCTTATCTTCACCATGGTGACCTTTTTCCTTGGAAGGAGGGGGTAGGTAGGGACCATGGGAGGCATGGCCTGGGGTGTCTGCTGATCACATTCTAGATGTGAAGGAAGCATCTATTTGATCACCAGATGGCCATTGACAATCAACTCATCCCATTGGGTCTGTCTTCTCACCTGTAAAATGGTAATAGTCATACCTACTTTATGGCTTTATAGTTATTAAATACACAACAAATGTAACTCATCTCACAGTAATAGTTAACATTTATTGAGGGCCACTATGTGTCTGGCACTGTCCTGAATTTTATCTTATTTAACCCACCCAACAATCTTCTAAAGGAGGTACTGTCTCCAGCTTAGATCCAGGGGCACAAAGAAGTTAGATAACTTGTCCAAGGTCACATAGAGATTTAAACTTTGGATCCCCTGAATCAGACCCCAAACTACTAAGCCTCTCAGCAAGTGCCAAACATATAGCAAGTACTCAGTCAATGTCAGCTGGCCTTCCCTTCCTACCTGAGATGATCATCCTCAAATTACGACTTTTGCTTGAGATTAAATAACCCATTAGTGGCAGTTTTTTATTGCTTCCATTTAAAAACTTTCCCTATAAGTTACTACTACCCACTTTTGCTTCTTACTGATACCTCTTCATAACTGACTCTATTTTTTAACCACCATCTCTGCTCCTTTTTGCCCATGGAGAGTTTATCTGCTTCTTCCCACACTTTCATTGTTGTGCATCTTTGTTTCTACGTTGTGTCTTTGAATCTTTCCTGTCCCTCTTCAAACCCTGCAGAGCATTTACACAAATACTCTCTGCCTGGTTCACCTACATCTCACTCTCAAACTCTGCTTAAAAGTTCTCCATTCAGGAAATGGGAGAAGTTGTGGAACTCTGGAGTTGAAAGACTCAGGTCAGGTTCTTGGCTTACTGGTTGGGTGTCTGTTGGGCAAGTTACTTATCTTTGAGCCTCACTTTTTTCATCTATAAAATGACACTAAAAATATTGTCAGGGTTGCCCTAGGAGCATCTGATTTGATAAAGCACATGGCATGTAGTACTTGCTCAACTAATGATTTCCTTTTCCTTTCCCCAATTCTATCTCATGGCAAACACAAAGACGTAAAGCGATATTGAACATATACAGCAAATATGCTGCTGTTCACAGTATTTGCTCTTCTCTTTCTGTCTCCTCTCCAAGTCCCTGCTTTGAAATGCCTTCAGGCTCCTCCAGGCCATCCTTCCCCTCCCATTTCCTGGCGTTGTGTGTGTGTCTGAGGCGTGTACACATGCAGACAGGGTAGTCTCGCTCATGCCAGAGCAATTCAACAGCAGATCTGGGTCTTACATAAAAGCCATTGTGGGGAAATAAATTCTGACAATTGGGACATCACTTGAAAGCAATAACAGACCAAAGAGTAACTGAGTGATAAGAAATAGGGCTGCAGGTTATAGAGAGAAACAAATTTAATGTTAAGGTAGTATTTGTGTATAGGGCTTCAGCAAACACCAAAACCTTCACAGATATTATTCTCCAAAGACTCCATGATGCTGCTTGGGACAGTCAGAACTGCTCTTGGTCTTTAACGGGGGGGAGGGGGGCTGGCTCCAGGACTGATGCAAAGAAAATGGTCTAGCTTTTCTTTTGAGCCCAAGTCTTTATTTATGTACCATTGATCTCACTTTCAACCCCCTCTGTTCTCTTGAAGTCACCCGTTTTCTTTCCATTTTTTAAAAAACATTCTTCAGGAAGGTTAGTGGGTATAAAAATACAATTAGATAGAAGAAATAAGATCTAGTGCTCAGTAGCACAATAGGGCAACTATAGTTAACAGTTTATTGTGTACGTCAAATAACTAGAAGAATAGATTTAGAATGTTTCCAACACAAAGTAATAAATGTTTGAATTGGTGGACATCCCAATTACCCAGATTTGAATATTACACATTGTCCGATTGTATCAAAATATCACATGTAGTTCATAAATGTGTACAACTACTTATCCATACAAATTTTTTAAAAACATTCCTCAGGAAATATTCCTAATGAGAATTAATATTTCAGGATCATTTCAGCACTGATTTCTTTTCCTGCAACTTCACCCAGAGAATCTGCATTTGAGTCTTTCATCTTTCACTATAGAAAGAAAGCCTGGATCCATTCAAAATACAGGCATATCTCATTTTATTGCACTTCACGAATATTGTGTTTTTCACAGACTGAAGGTTTGTGGCAACCCTACATTAAGTAAGTCAATCATCACCATTTTTCTAACAGCATGTGCTCACTTTGTGTCTGCATCAGCACTTTTTAGAAATAGTGTTTTTTTAATTAAAGTACATACATCTTTTAGACATAATGCTCTTGCACACTTATTAGACCACAGTATAATATAAACATAACTTTTCTATGCACTAGGAAACAAAACTGTGATGAGCTTTATTGTGATATTTGCTTTATTGCAAACAAAGGTCTGGACTGAATCCATAATATCTCTGAGGTATGCCAGTAATTTTGAATGAGAATGGAGCTTCCCAATCAGTGTTCTCAATAAATATGAGCATTTCCTGTGTGTATCTTAGCAGGTAGAAAAAGTTGGGAAACTCCAAGAGGCTCGAAGAGCCATATGTGCACTTTGTATATTGAGGAGGGCAGAAAGGAAGGCTAGGAGAGGGAAGAGTAAAGTCATATCACTGTGAAATCCATGTATGTGTGATGCTAATCTAAGTGAGTCCTGGACCCAAAAGCTCAGAATAAGAGGAGGGACGTCCTTCAGGACTGTGATGGCTTCTTTCTCCTTGGGAGGCTTCCTGAATATTGTTAGAGGATTCATTTTATGTACAATATGCGAGTCTTCAGGCCTGGTGACTCATTGTATATCCTTCTGGGCCTATTTCAAATCCTTGAAGATAAGAAATCTGCACCTGTGTGGCATGATGCCCATGCAATGGAATACTACATGGCAATGATAAAGGAATAAGTTATAATTTTATAACATGGATGAATCTAAATATAATTGTGCTAGGTGAAAGACAGCAGAAAACAAGAATACATACTATAAGATTTCATTTCTATGAAATCCTACAAAAACCAAACTAACATAGAATGACAGGCTGCTTGTCTGGGATGAGGGGAAAGGAAGGATGAGAGAGAGAAGGTTGTATGCCAAAATTTATCAAATTATACACTTTTGGTGTCATTTATTGTATGCAGATCATACCTCAAAACTGTAAAAAAAAAAAAAAAAAAAAAAGAATAAAAAATGTAATCTCTTCCTTTCCAATCCAACTGAAATTAAGAGACTTCCTAGGTGAGCAGGTGACCAGGTCTCTATGTATTTGAGGAACTAAAACATCATTGGAAATGTAAAGATATGGATAAAACTGTATTAACCAAAACTCCTCTCCAGAAAGATATGTGGTTAAGAAGCCACTGCTAGTGGAAAGTAGATTCCTAAGAGGTATTTTCAGATAACGACAGAGGCCTTCCAAAAAGTGTGGATGTGGTTACTTGCTGGGTTTTTGCATTTCTAAGTAGGATGTGGAGCTTTAGAGAGAGAGCTAAGCTTGTTGGGATAGTGGAGAAGAAGCTGCCTGCTTTTTAGCAGTGCTCTTCATTTCTGCTCTTCTCTCAAGTAACACTTAACTTCTATTCCCAATACACTGAGAACAAATATTTTAAAAAGATGGGTTTGAAGGTGTGCCTGGTCCCAATCCCACGCCTGGTGTTGCAGGAAGTAGAGCCAGCTATCCTTCCTGGGGTACTTCTCTCCCCAACACCAGAAGGAATATGGCCAACCATGTTTCTAACAGGGTGCTTTGAATATGCGGAGAATAATTACAACTCACAAGGTTGGGACAAGAGGAAGACGGACTCGGACCGTGAAGTCTGGGAAACATGACTCGCCATGATCTTAGGCAGCCTCTCAGCGAGCGCAAAAGGGGATACAGGCAGAAAGAGGGCAGGCGGCCTACCAGAAACAGGGCCACGGCGGTGCCCAGGATGAAGCCCGCGATCACGTCTGAGCAGTGGTTCCGATACTCAGAGACCCGGTTGAGGCCCGTGAGGAAGGCTGTGCAGAGGGTCCCGAGGCACAGCACCGGCTTGGCCAGTCGACTGCTCTTCGTCTTGATTGTGCTTGTAATGTACATCTGGAATAGGACAGAGGCTGGGCAGTCACCAGGCAGCTTCCTTGTGCTGGCACTATGCACACGCACGTACACACACCAGCACACACAAGCAGGGGCCTGTGCCAAAGCGACCCCACCAACTAGTTTTCTTTGAACAACTCTGCTAAGCTACCTAGTTAAAAAAAAAAAAGGCAAATAAACAAAATAAAAAACAACCCAAAACCCAAAAAACATTTAGATAGAAAATCAGTGCAGCAAGAACAGCAAACAGATGTACAGTGGTCAGTATTTTGTATTCTAGTGGGCAAGTGAATACAACTTATGCAGTGATCCCTGGGTCACTTTTATAATCAGATCGTGCAATTTCTATGCAACAAATTAGAGACTCATTGGAGTATTAAGAAATCCATATAAGAATTTCAGATACAAATAAACCTTCTATGAAAATAAAGTTTATGGTGGAGAAGACCAGGTAGGTGACTGTGCGTAACTTTTTGTGTTTCCTATAGTCCTAGCTGCTTTGTCACTCTTTCAGGCAGTGTTGAACAATTAGTTGATGGACTGAATTAGAAATTCCCAATCACTGTGTCACACACATAGGTTTCAGTTGTGCTGGGAAGTTGATTCCCACATTCCTTGGCACAGCTGTGACCAGCTCCATCCATTCATTTACTCCAGCGTTGTCTTAAAATATTAAACTCTTCTGTGTGTGCCATGACTTGCAAAAGGTTGGGAAGACCTGAGCTAAGTAAAAGTTGATGCAATTTGTGATACCTGAGATCTAGGCTGTTGTTATTTCATTGCGAAGAGCCAGGTAAGAATTGTAAGCTTCATAGGTTCAGTTAGCAAATGTGTCCCTAGTGGTTTAGTTAGGAAGGGTGGCCTCTTTTAAATAAGTAGTACACTTTGTTAGATCACCTTTGGTAATAGCTATAAGTCACCACTAGAGGACATTATTGATCCATCATTTAACAAATGAGAGAGGTTTGGCAACCCTCAAAAAGATGCCTATACTTAAATTTTAGTCTATAGAGTGTATGGTGTCAGTACATATATGTTCAAATAAATACAATTTCTATTGCAATATTGTAAAATGTTACTTTCCTAGAATGATGGTTAAGCACTAATGTGGATAACAGAGGCCCTATAAAACTATGGTTAGATGGAAGTTTGATAAATTACACTATTTTGAGGCTGTGTGGGGAAAATTACTTAAAATTTATACTGTATATATTTAGTTTCTTATGCTCCTATATTTTCTAATTATGTTCTTTATAAATATTTTCTGTAAGATTATGAAAACTATTAGGAGCATGGGCCTATGATTAGTTAGTATTCTTTACAGTATTAACCAGTACTTAAGAAATCTTTGAGTAATGAAAGCACTTAACATGCATTAGAGGCTCAGAAGATATTTGTACAATTGGAATATTATATTGGAGTTTATCTGATTATAGTCTGCGAGGCATGATTCCAATTGGATTATATGTGAATCCTTGAAAACGTGTTATAGCAGTATCTATTCCATGTGAGCTGAAGATATTTACTTTTCTTCTCAAAAGAAGTTTATACTTCATTTGATGATGAGAAAGTAGTTTATTATGAGTAACAGATTTATTTTTATAATGGTATTATAAAATTAATTTCACAAAGCAGTGACTTGAGTCTGATAAAAATATAGGAAAAGGCACAGTACATTGCTTTGTGCTATTTAGGTTCTAGATAATTGAGGACAAATCAACATTTGCAAATTGAGAAAATATGCTGAATGCCTCAGATGGCTTTCTTTGTTTTTTAAAAAAATACCTGCATAGAGGATTTTTGTTTTGTTTTTGATAAAAAAGTCTAACCAAGCTATGGTTTGCTGTTTTGTAAATTGAGGCTTCTGTATTATTTGGACTCATGTTTCCTTAATATGGGGGCAGCTGAAATAATTTTTATCATTCATTAAAGAATAGATCTAAAAGGAATAACTAGGAAGATACATATTGGACAGTTGGTGGTTGACAAATTGATCCTATGATGTGATCCTGTACATGGGACCCACAGGCACTCAGCAAATTATTTTATGTTCTGCTAAATAGACCAGACCCATAGTCAGTCACCCTTTTTTCCACCCTGGGGGTGATGGCACAGCCCCTTTTCCTTCAGAAGCAGAATGTGTGCTCTGCAGCTCCTGGCAGAGGGGATGGGAGCATGCCTGCCAGGGATGCCTGGGAGAAGTGGGTAGTTTGAAAGGCGGGTCTTTCCTCTACCTTTTCCCTCCTTGACTTTTCATTGTGAATCACTACACTAGTCATATTCTGAATATAAAATAAATTGAAGTGAGGAAAGGGGGTGTTTTTGACCAACACTGGTCAATACATTGATACCTGCCATCGATATGCCATCAGCATGTGGGGACTTTGAGCTGATCCCTAGACATCTGGGTTCTAGGGACACCTAGGCCAGAGAAGGGTGAACTGAGGTTATTTCCAGAATGAATGCTTTTAAAGGCTAAAAAATTAAGAAGGACATCATTGTTTCTTCTTTATGATGTAGGACATACTTCAAAATTTCTCTGTGACTAGAGCAAGAAATTTTAAGAGAACGTTACACCCCAATGGGGCAGTCAAAGGCAGTGATTTGGGGAGCAGTGAGAAGTAGGCTTTTGGGTGTTGGAGCTCTTCTGGGATCACCCATCTCTTCTACCAAGGGGATCAAAGAAAGCATCAGAAAGAGCAAAGGAAAGCTGCGTGTTTACCCTGGGTCTGCACCTTCCTAGGGCAGCCACTCGCGTAAGACTCACGCTTGCAAATTTGTAAGCAGATGTGAGGAAGGTGTGCTGTTCTGGAACCAGCAAAACTCTGGCAAAAGTGTTCTGCTGGGGGTGGTAAGAGAATCCCAGACGTGGTGCCAGGAGCCCAGGTGCCAGCTCTGACTATATGTCCTTAGCTGTTCTCTGGGCTCCAGCTTCTGCTTCTGTAAGATGGGAGGCTGTAATTGGGTGACTATCAAAACTCTTTCCAGAACTAGTATCCTCTGGCTGATCAGGGAACTACACTGGGATGTCGAGAGTGGGGTGGGGGTGGAGGGCTACTATATCAATAGCACGATATAATACAGGGGAAACAAGTTGTACATGACTTTAAAAATCGATAAGTGACAGTGATGAAAGAATAGGAAAGAGGGGTGCAGAGACACACATACCCCAGCAAAAACCTCAGAGAGATACAGCAAGTCTCACACTCACCGTGGCATATAAGGCGGAGTAAATGCTCAGAGCAGCGTGTTTGGAAGGAAAGGACCTCCGAGCCTTTTCTATCACTTCCAGGTCCCCAGTACAAATGTTCCCATTGTTTATGAACTGGTGGTGTGCTTGGCAGTCTGTACTGGTGTAGTTCGGCTTGCACACGGTCAGGAAGTACGGCGTCAGGTGCCCGGTGACCACTTGTCCGGCGTTTACAAAAATGTCAGTGGCAAAAAGTCCAAATGCAAACACCCCTATAAGAAGATTTAAAATAATTAGGAGTGGTGACATAACCCCATCAATTGGTTTTGCCCCTAAGAGGAAACAGAGCGGTGACAATCTGTGACCTATCAAAAAGATCCTAAGTCCTTCTCAGAGTCAAACTGTCCCCTCACCTTCATCTTTGTAGGAAGTGGTGCCTACTTCCCAAATCACCATTTCTTCTACATTGACACGGACATTCTACTGTTGGCATCTTATTATTCTGTAATCAGTAATAGAAAAGTACAGTCTAATGAAAGGAACTTGAATTTTGGAATCATCTAGCCCTGGGCTCCAGTCTCATCTTTGACTCATTCACGGTATGAGGTATTTATCTTCTTTGAATGTCGGTAGCCTCAGTTGCAAGATGAGGAGGGTAGTTTGGGAAAATAAGATATGTGCAAAATACCTGCTGTGGTGCCTACGTTAGCAGTTCTCTTTCCTTCTACAAAATACATTCTCCCTTATTCCATTTGGAAATACAAATATTCCTAGGAGGAATATCATGGCAGGTGAGAGTGAATGAAGTTCTTAGGGAATTGTCTCTAAAAAAGAAAGATCATTTCAGAAACTCTGGATATTTCATTTGATGTTGCAAACAGGGAGTGAGAATAAAGGTGCTAGACAAATGTTGACTGTCTCAGTTTCCTATTGCTGCTGTAACAAACTGAGTGCCTTAAAACAACACAAATATATCCCCTTAAAATTCTGGAAGCCAGAAGCTTTGAAATAGGTTTCAATAGGCTAAACTTGGGGTGTTGGCAGGGCTGTGTTAGTTGTAAAGGCTCAGGGTATAATCTGTTCCTTGCCTTTTCTGTCTTCTAGAAGTTATCTTCGTTCCTTGTTTTATGGCCCCTTTGCAGTAATTCACATCACTCTGACTTCTGCTTCGGTTGTCACATCTCCTCTGAGTCTGATCCTCCTGCCTGTCTCTTATAAGGACCTCTGTGATTACATTTGGTCCATCTGGATAATCCAGGATAATCCCTCTATCTCAAGACCTTTAATCACACCTGCAATTCCCTTTTGTCGTGCAAGGTAACATTCACAATTTCTGGGGACAAGACCATCTTTTGCCGGGGAGGAGGCTGTTATTCTGACTTTGCTGTTTGGCTGAGAACCCTGTAGGTAGGCTAACTTCCTGTATTTTATCTGTTCTCTGGTAAATACCACAGGATTAGCTCCAATAAGCTTGAATGTAGATAAAGAGAATTCCTTATGGGAAGCTTTGTTGTGAATTTCAAAGCCCATATATGACATCTATACACTATCTGTTAAATGCATTGAAGAAACCTGTACAGCGCTAAGGTGCTACGAGTCACTTGAGAGGATGAAGAAGACATTTCAACTGCAACTCAAGAAGAGGTAGGCAAGTGTGCGAGGCAGTATTAACCCTTAAAAATGTCAAGAGTCTGCTATATTTTCAATTAAATGTCTATCCAACTTTTATTCCTATATTCAATATTCTGAATCTGCAAATTGTGGTTTCAACACCCCCAGACTTAATCCATTATAGCAGAAATGAAGACAAGTTTGGCTGAAACCTTCATCTAGTCTTCATTTTGATCTGTATCGATTGCTATAATTTTCCTTTTCGTGGCCTTGCCAAAATGTGTTTTATCACAATGAGAATTGGCTCTTTTAATGGCTTTGGCTGGCTCACACCCACAGGATCTGACCTCTGGGAGCAGGCATCCATTCTGTGATCATTCCTGGCAATTTGCACCCCCAGGATCTTGAACTCTGAATAGTTGGAAATTTTTTTACGTCTTTAAGTAAGATCCTCAAAGACCAGGTCTCTGGCTCTTTCAAGGGGCAATAAGTCTGTCCAGACACACTTTTCCAGGAAACTATAGGGTAATTTATGATTTGAAAAAGGAAAAGTGAAAGCATGTTCTTCTGGTACTTTATTTCAGAAGTTGTTCCCAATTAGGGCAGGTTTGCTCTTTGTGAGGCAGAGGATTTCTAGGCTCCTTGGATTAGTGTCTGAGGTGCCATCTCCGTGGTCACAGTGATTCTGGGACTGTCAGCTCTTCACTGTCCTCTATGTTGTTGCTGAAAGCTGCTGTCTCTGCTTCTCTTTGCCTCTTCTGGATTATGTCAGCTTTCCTGATGGCTTAACAAGTGTCTGCTTTCCAAACACATCATTTTGGTGCATTTGATCTACTGTGTTTAACCAAAAATAAGACGGTCTTATATTTATTTTTCCTCAAGAAGACACCCTAGGGCAGATGTCCTCAAACTATGGCCTGTGGGCCACATGCAGGTGTTTTTGCCCATTTTTTTTCTTTCAAAATACGATATGTGCAGTGTGCACAGGAATTTGTTCATAGTTTTTTTAAACTCTAGTCAGGCCCTCCAATGGTCTGAGAGACAGTGAAGTGGCCCCCTGTTTAAAAAGTTTGCCCTAGGGCTTATAATCCCTGCCCTAGGGCTTATTTTCAGGGTATGCGTTATTTTTTGAGTACGGTACAACAGTCTATATTTATTCAAATATAGTTAAGTCGTCTTCTTCTGGAACATCATAACTCTCCAAACCCTGAATTCCATCCTGAATTTCTTGTGACTCTATTTCCTTTAGAACCATTGGCCCCAACCTCTCATGTCAAGCAATAGAGCTTGCATTAAATGAGCAGGGCTGGCTTATTGATCAGAGATCCAGTGAGCGCTGGGTCCAATCTGCACAGTGGAGCAGAAATGATCTCTCTGGGCTCAGCAGGAGACTGCTTTGCTGAAGCTTTTTTCCTATTCCCTGGTGTTTGTGGGGGGGTGAGAGAGGCCTGCATTGCTGAGTAAAATGGCAGCCACAGCTTTCCTTCTTCCCCCTGGGGACACACAATACTAAAGCAGAGCGTCCTGCTCCTCACTTCACTGAGGAGATTTTCCCCTCAAAGCCTCGGCTTGCAGCACACACAGGATGGCCAGGACCTGACAGGGGGAGCCCGCACCTTTCTGGTCACCTCTGGGATAGTAGCTGTCAGGATGGGGCAGATGAGAAGGGCTGCTCGTCTTTACTGCTCCGCGACAAAATGCATGGGTTGTGCAGATACGCTGTGTGGCCACACCCATCACTAGGTCTTATTTCCGGGGTAGGGCTTATATTGCACAAACGCTCAGAAACCCTGCTAGAGCTTATTTTATGGGTAGGTCTTATTTTCGGGGAAACACGGTAGCTCCAGAAGGGGCCGCATCGGCAGGGGCAGTCCACCTGCCCGGTGCACGCCACACCAAGAAAGGGAGGTAGAACCTGCAAACATTGCCAGATCCTCCAGGGCTGTAGTAAAGAAACTCAAGTCACCCCTCTGTTACTTATCCCTGAGCTTCTTATAGGTATTTTTATAAAGCATCGGAAGCTAAAAACAGCTACTTTTGTCCTTTAGAGTCTGAGTGAAGCACCACTTATGGTCTCCTGTATTACAAGGTATGATCTGAAGGAGAGGTTTTTAAAATGTGTACGTACCCTAGGTTGGTATCTAAAATTCAAGTGAGACCATAGTTTTGAAATTAAGACATTTTTCACTCCTGTAACCCCCCCCCCCGACCCTCTTGGCTGGTTCTGTATGTCTGATGGCTCTGCTCTATCAGTGTTCCCTGCTTTAGAGGTATTGATTATATTTCTGAATGGATTTTCAAATTCACAACAGACACAAAAGTCTAAAAGTGAAGCACTTTTGATTGGCTAGAGCTATGTGCTGGAGATGCTTGTTGTTATTGCTGTTGCTTTGTTTGTTCAGAATTCTGAAGAGGCTTGGTTTGGAAGATGGAGAGCTATAGCCTCGCCCTAGAGCATACAACAAGTGAGTTCATAAAGTCACCATAGAGCACGGTAGGAAGTAGATACAGATGTCACAGAAGGAGCAGATAGAATGCCGCCTGCTCTGGCTAAAGGAATGAAGAGGCACTTTCATGCTTCCTGCCTCATGCCGGGGTCAAACCTCAGGGACTGAGCAATAAGAATCCTCAGAATGATTTTTGGAAATTCAGATAAAGGGCATCCATCATGTGCCTCTCAGGACATAGCTCCAGAACCCCGAAAACCCCCTAGAGAAGTTTCACACCCACGTTGGCACCAGAGAACAGGGCGACTGCACTATCCATGGCTGAGGGAGGGCCAGATTGGTTGAGGGAGGAGGCTTGGAAGTAGGACGAAGAGACTGACATCTACCGATGTCCATGGTTGGGTCATGGCCACATGGATCGTCCAAGGAAACCTGACCTTGCCTCCTCTTTGTGGCCTAGAAGAATTTAATGGGCACATGCTAGGCTAGCTAAAGGATAAAGAAAGGTAAAGATGAGGTTGTCCCCCATGTTTTCCCCCTTGGGGTTTCACCTGGATCCTATCTGATCTTAGATAGCACACTATTGGACAAATTAGGATCTTCAATGCAGTTAAGACATGGAGTAAAATTCTGTGGTTCCTGCTGTGGAATCCGTGCAGGGCTCCAGCCCTTTCACTCCACCAGGAATGCGGTACAGTGACATAACCAGGAAACAAGGGTGACGAAGATCTTCAAAGCCCCCGATAGTTGGTCTACTGGTAGATAATAATAGGGCTCATCCCAGGAGACCTTCAGAACTGGGGAAAATATATATAAGCAGACTGCCCAGTGTTGAGGAGGATTCTGTTGCTGTCTACCAAGCAGACTTTCATCGGGAAGCCTAGACCCAGGCAGTAGAGCAATAATTAGTAGATGCTGATGAAGACAAATTCCTTATTTTCATTTTTGAGACAGGGTCTCTCTGTCACCCAGGCTGGAATACAGCAGTGTGACCATAGCTCACTGTAGCCTTCAAGTCCTGGGAACAAGCCTCTTCCTGCCTCTGCCTCCTGAGTAGCTGGGACTACAGGCACATGCCACCATACCCAGCTAATTTTTCTTATTTTTTGTAGAGACTGTGTCTTGCTATGTTTTCCTGGCTGGTCTCAAACTCCTAGCCTCAAGAAATCCTCCTGCCTCAGCCTCCCAAAGTGGTGGGATTATAGGTGTGAGCC